ATTCCCGATATAACGGTATTTAAAGCTTGCTTCTTTATGGAGCTTTTGGTTAATTGCGCATTTTCTGTTCTCTCTTACTCTTGTTTTTTTTTTACATAATAGCACATATGTATGTATGTACATGCATTATCTATAATCGTGCATATCTAGATATGCACATATGTATATGTGTGTGTATGTACTATATACAAAAATATGCACTCTTATGAAACAATTAATCAATTGCAGAAATTACACATCGTTAACACATTTGTAAATACTTTACAGTTGCTTTCATATTATTGCTTTACATGCTTAATCTTTTTTGTAAAAGTCGCACACTGATTACATAACAATTTATATAATTTATTGCAAAATCTTTGCGGCGCACTGCTCCGTTCGTAATCGCGGCAGTACTCTCAATTGCAAATTTATTTTGACGCACTATTTATTTAAATGGAAATCAAGAATTTTGTACAAGAAACAAACAATCTCTCTTGATTAAACATAAACTGTGTTTTAATCCCGCTTCTTTAATTTCGAATTTTTATAAAATCATTTACGTGTCACACAATTTTTTATTGAATTTTTAATATTTTATTTATTTATTTTTAATATTTTTATTCATTATTATTTATATTAAATAACTTGAGAACCCGTAACGCGCTTACAAATCAGTTCTCGGCTCTCTTGCGTGTCTAAGTCAAGATCATAATGCTTATATTAATCGTGTGGTATTTATTCAAATATAATTTCATCTTGAAATGAGATATTCCGATTGAGCTTGAAGATATTGTGCTTCGAACTTTAAATGCGATTCGAAGCGAAGCTAGCCACGTTTCAGACCACAATTTTTCTGTCACTACAATACTATTAGTGTATTCAAATATTAGAGAGAGAAAATATGGGCAGGCTGCTTGTATAGTTTTTACATCAAAAACTGTGTCTTCTGATAGACTGGCCGTTTCAAAATTAAAACACAACTCAAGCGATAGTCTGCTTCGAAACTAAAAACTTGAACATTATATTTTGGATAACAGTGAATACATCGTTAAGCCCTTTATATAACACCTAATCAATACTATTTTGTTTTTCTTCTTTTTGTTGAAAGGTCTTTGCTGCTACAATGGACATAATCAGGAAATATACATTCACAACTTAATTGGGGTCTAGGAATACTTGCTTTAAACTTTAAACACATTTGTCTATACATACTTGTATGTATGTATATCGATCGTACGCTTAACTCGTGCACAACTTTTAAGCAGGTGCCTTTTTGTTGTAGACAAACAATTTATTATAAAGCTCTTTCATGTACATACATGGGCCGGGGAAAAGGATAAAACGTCAATTGGCGTGTTTTTGAAAAGTTCAGTTATAATGCTGTTTGACATGCGAGTCAATTATCAACGCATTTTCAATTTTACACTAGGAAAACAAAGGGCACATAAACTATAATGGCAAATGCAAAATATATGTATATATACCGATAAGTGTATAATGTTATATTTATTTTGACATCGCAATTACTCGCAATTTAAAAACAGAACTTATCAGCAAATACAAAAGCGAGGTCGGTAGCGTTTTAGACACATGACTATAAATAATATGCTAAAAATTGCATAAGAACAGAATAAGGCGACAGAATGCTGCAACTTATACAATCAAAGGGCACTTTCTTTTATTTTATTTGTCACTATATTTATTTATCGACAAACGAGGGCGTTGAGGCAACAAAAACAATTCGAAGAAAAAGTTAAACATTAACATCTAATACCGTATTCGTATACTCCCTGGGGAATTTTATTTCCTCACCAGCCATCTCTACACCGATACAAAACACAAAGTTATTAGACCGAACAAAAAATAAATTTTGAATTTATGACGCCAAAAAAAAAGTACCCCATTATGTGCAAAATAAGAACAAACGTGCCCGCAACTGCAGTTTGTGGTAATTACTTTACCGAGAATTTTCTCATTTGGATGAACTATAAAATGAAAATAATAAAAAAACCATATAATTGGCTTATGGAAAGTAAGTTTACTGTAAATGAAAAAATTAAATAATAATGTCGTGTTACTTATAAACTAGGAGAGATGGGACCTCAGCTGTTCGAGACCCTTTACCCTTTGGGTAGAGATAGTTTCTAAGGGAAGCTTTATTAGCCAGTACGGCTGGGTATGTCCAAATGGGTTAAATGTGGAATATCACTGACCCGTGGGAGGCATTTTAGCAATGCTTTAAAACGATATCAAAAGAAGCTTCCTAAAATTCATATATCGTCACTATAATTGATGTATTGCAAGTTTGTTTTATATGAAACCTGTATATTTTTTTTCTATTTCTAACTAAATACGTAAGCAAGTATAAAAAAGTATTGCTTTAAGTTAATACCTGAGGTAGGCAGACTAACAGCAGCATGTCGTGTATTTTCTTCAAACATGACTATGATTTTACATACATGTATGTATGTATGTATGTATATTGTAATGGTCGTGCTTTGCAAATTGTATTTTAATATTTCAACCATTTTTTCATTAAACCAAGGTTCAATAGTTATATAAAAAGAGATTCGCTCATCAGCTGGTAATCGTTGCATAGAGTAATCAGGCATTGTTTTTATACCCTTCCCTTTAAGTGAAGAGGTGTATTGCTTTTCTAGGTGAATATACGGCAGCATGATAGATGTTGTGATGGATAATACTATTGATGCCAGAGATTACGTCCAATAATATAACGAAGAAGATGATCTCGTTTAGCAATATCGATTTGTACTTCTCCATATATTAATTGGGATACATTAAAATTTTATTGCCAAAAAAAAAAACATTTTTATTTTAGGAAGACATTTTATACAATTTGATATTTGGTGGTATTATCGTAATTTATTGTTTCAAAATGTTTGAGTAGCGAGTGCATTGTATTGAAAAAACATTCAAATCATTCTATTAAGGAGACAAACAAAAAAGGATAAGCTAACAAAATTGTGGATATACATATTATAGGCCATAATTCGATTTATTTTAAAAAATGTGTAACTTTCTGCTATTGGGTAGACAAGTAGTGTTAAAGTTTCTGTTGCAATTTGAAAGCAAAAGTATTTTAATTTGGTCAATTGATTTGTTTTTGCATAGATTCTTTGCTCAGGTTCTGTTAAAATGTATTACGATGTTAAATTAAATTTCTTAAATGCATAGTTAGTTTTGCTTGGAAGCGTACATTAGCTTCGTCTCACCCAAAACATCCATTCAAGTTGTTTTTTCTGCCACTAGACACCAAAGTTTCAAGTTAAGTTAGGAGGAACAATGGCATAAACAAATTGGCGAAGCACATAAAACACAAGTCAAAAATGTCGGAGATGCATAAGCAATGCTTCAAGTTTCTTTGCAAATCAGGTTTTGTGGTAATAATCTAACAACAGCACTACAATAACAACAACAACCACAACAACAACAGCAGCAGCAGCGACAGCAAAAATAAATTTTGAGCAGAAACAAAAATGAAAAATATAAAGTGAAGTTTTCGAGGCGTTCGATTACGTTAGCCAAAGCCAACGAGGAAAATAAATGAATAAGCGAATAATTTACCAAATGTGGCAGAGAAGCTAGACTGCGAGTCTATGGTTGTGGCGCAATGCGTAAATTGTTTACTTCCTATTTAGCTTTTAATCACGACGGACACGCATGGGGCACAGTTTTAAAGTCAGTTCCATTCAAACTGTGGCCTTGAACATTGTAATACAACTGTTATACAAAAAAAAACAAAAAAATAAAACGAAATTTTTCTTAAGATGAGAAACTATATCAAAACATAACTTGTTTGTAAACTCGCACAAAATCGAAGCTCAAATACATTTTAGTTATTATTTTGATATAATGAGTAATAGTCGCATGTGCCGGATTATGATTTTCTTAGGTTTCTATAAAACAAGATAACAAAGGTCATACATGGATAGAAAAGGAAATCGCAGTGAAGATAAGCTTTACAATGGTCCTGCTACTAAAATAGGGTGTGTTGCACTAATTATTTCTTTAATCATTTCATAAGAACCATATTTGGATATAAGATATCATCGAAACGTAATCATATAAAGTGCTCCACCTCTGGCACAGAACTTGGGAGCGATCGAAAGTCAGAGATACATAAGTCACAGAAATACATAGATAAACATAATCCCCCCTTTTGCACACGCAATAGAAAAACACAAATGCGCAAAACCAAAATTCTTTATTTTTACACATTATGTTAGTCTAAGACGGATCTTAAATAAAAGCGCATCTGATCTGAAAATTATCTCGCTTTCTTACTGGATTGCTTAAAAATGTAGCAACGACACAAACAAATAACTCTAATTTATAGTCCTCGAAGGATTAGACTTATTAGTAGGCGTGTATCATACCATTTTTTTTTATTTCGCTGCATATTGAGAAAACAAGCCTATTTACCAAGTTCAGTGTTCTTAGCTAGTGTGGCTTAAAAGTTATAGGTGTTCATACGGACGAACAGGCGGAAGGACAAACGTACTTATGTACATACATACATTTGTATGTACAAACATATTGGAATGTGTCACAAATACAGCGGTTTCCATTTTAATTTATAAATATTTGTTTTTTTTTTTTCATGTAACTAAGTCCTTATATATTTTATACTAAACAGAACACTACAAATTCAAAACCAAAAATGTTTTCTATTTAACTTTTTTATCATGGCTGTCGTTAGTTTCTAACACTTGCATTACAAAGTTTTCGAAATGTGCCTTAGCTACAATGTATTACGAAAGTGTTTTCAACTCAAAACTCATGGGATGGGTCTTTCTCAATCGCATTCTGAAGTTTAAAGGAAAGGCAGAGACAGAAATCGGAAATCAACGATCATGTCGTGTTCGTGAGATTCAACACAACCATCCGCCATTGAGCGATTAATCACAGTCCGCCCTAAAACTACAAATATCACGAGTCGCTGCCAGTCAGTCCCGCGCGGTCGGTAGTCGCGAGAGGTTTGTTGGCGTCAGTCCCGCTTGCCGGTCGCTTGTCACAAAAAAAAAAGCAAAATGTGCAAATTTGAATTTAGTGACAATATATATATACACGTATAGAATTATCGTTTGTATATATCGCACTCTGTTTGGCGCCAAAATCTCTTGCTTTGCGATCAAGGTACATACATAAATACGATAAACATACATACATATAATGTAAATGCTTAAAACAAATTTTATTTGCCAAATAATAGAAGCACATGGTGCCATATGGCGATGCTAATTGGTGGTCTGGTCAAGGCAAATCAAATATTATTCAATTTAAAGAGTGCACTTGTGACGAGCAACAACTGTGTCGCTCAACTAAATAAATAGATTCAAAAATATTCGGAAAGGAAAATTCTATAAAACTTCAAATACAAAGACAATATAACATCAGAGAGATTTATATTACTTTTAAGTTCTATATTGTCGGTATAATTCAAATTAGCTGTAAAAAATAAATCATTATGTATGAGCATTATGTTTGTGAAATGAAAGATGTTTCTTTGATATTTATTTGTTGTTCATTTCTACTTAAAATTTGCCAATCGTAAGCAATATAATAAAAAAAAGGAAATAAACACTGATTCTTTTCTTATTCATATTCAAAAGAGTCTCTTCAACAATCTTGAACCTATTTAGTTGAGTGACACTGTACTTACTTATGCCTAATCGGGCAATACCACAAAAAAAAACAAAATTGTGCAAGTGAAAAAATAAATATGTGGTACAGCGTGCCAAAATCAATATTTTATTTATAATGTCGAGCATCTATGTAAATACAAAACGAAAATGGTAAGATACATCTGGTATCGCTTCTTATTGAAGGTCTTCAAAACGTAAAACCTTCACAGAAGAATTACCTCAACTAAACTAAGCTAAAGTACTCACGATCAGACATAAATGTTTACATTTGTTCATTCAAGTCTTTTTCACATTTCAGTTCACAAATTCGTCTAAATTTAAATACATTTTGTTCCAAATTTTTTGCAATCTCCTTTGAGTTGCCTAAGAATGTAATATGGCTCTTAGTATGAACACTTTTTTATTAAGAAATTTGGGTCTTTAATTAAACTTTTATAGTGTTTCATGATACTGAGAAGTTTCATAAAAATCGTTGCTCCATAGGAAAGATCGCTTCAACAATCAATCCTACTACTAAACATTTTTCTGTTAATTGCCATATTTTAGCCAAATTCGGTATTTCTAATAATTTTTAATCTGCTGACTACCTCACATAGCTGCTAGAACAGCGATAAATATGCCTCACCTTAATCTGGAATCGGTAAACTATATATATAACTGATATCGGAATGATTTTATTTTAGGATACTTAAGAGAAAATAAAATATCATAAGTTTAACACTTCAACAATTTTTTAAAAAATAGGTAAAATTGTAAAACTTTTTCAAAGTAAATAAATTTAAAATCTGATTCAGTCTGTATTTTATTTAATATTTAATATTCCCAACGAATGACTGGAAAAGTATTAAGCCACGTCTAAATAAATTATTTGTATAAAGTGATTTTAAGTTTTGCGTTGGATTTGTTGAAGAGCACATTCTTCTCACACGTTTAGTCCTGAATCATAAATATTAGTCTTCAAGTTTTAGTTTACTTATAAATTCAGTACTTTTCCCAGAGAGTTTTGAAATGAAAGAGTGATGGGTTATAAAGAATGTATTTCAACCGCCATTTTTATGAATCCGGCTATACTCCTCAATCCCATGGATTGAAAATGAGAATGTCGAGCGTCCAATTTAGCAGGACACAATTGAAGATGCCAGCAAGGAGTCACTCGTTTGGCCGCCCAGATTTGAGAAACAGGATGAGCGCCAACGAGTACAGCATCAGTGAAACTTTGTAGAAGGAGGTCTTCTACTTATTTTCTGCCGGTTCAACCCCTAATACAGTGTCCAACCTATTAATTAATCGACCTTTTTCACGATACTGTTTTAAAATATATATGTATACCTATATACCTTATGGGGTCGAATGTATCTATTGTAAACTAGTTGCAATCAAATTTACGTTGAAAACCTTGAGATAAGGAAAATATTGCACGCACTTAACAACAAAGGGGAATGCAACCCTTTGGCTAAACAACAGGCCTTGCATTTGCTATCAACAGATTTCTTATGAAATATTAAACATAATCCGTGTACATTCACGTACAAACAAGCAAATACTACAGTGCGGACACTGGCTACGATTTGTCCAGCGTTTAGGTTTCCTAGTTAGTTATCAGGTGCGGTTAGGAGTGGAGGCCCCTTCTGCTGCATGGCTTCTTAAAGCTGTTTGCGATAAGTACACCCGATCGGTCAGTGAATACACTGCAGTTTTATTAAATAAGAAGTGTTAACATTTTTAGTAAATATTGTGGAGACATACGACAGCTATGTGTATGAAATGATCAGAGTGTTATATAAAAAAAATGTTGAACAAATTTTGCAAATACAAGTAATTCGTACTGGCAATAATTTGTTCCCTTAGAATAATTCAGATGTATATAAAGGACAGACTAAACATTAATATTTCACAACTGTTTGTTGAAATCTTTATAGGCAATTATGTTCAAAGGCAAGAAGTGTAAGGAGCACCTTAATTGATTGAATTCCTCAGCCCCGAGATTCATGCAGTGCTATGGCTCCTATTGAGCAACATCCGCTGGTGGATCAAGCAAGGTGTGAGAATAACAATGCCATGGATAAAAAAGTTCTGGGCAAATCGTTCCATTGGCCCGATCAAAAGTCAATGAAATACGGGCAATGGTCCTGGCGCCAGCTGATGAGACGCAAGATCCTTTTACTCATGGCCGTTGCGGTGCTGCTGATTTATGTGCATCTAACGTTGCAGAAGCAACGCGATGAGGACTATATGAGTGGCTTGAATATGGAGAACATTATACCTGTCCGGCATAGATCTCACGTACTGGGCATGGGAGGTGAGTCAAGTCCAGTTGGATAATTTGTTTTAATGTTTTAACAACTCACGACGTGCATTAAAATCAGGCTCATTTTTCTACATAGATCTTTAAGTCTTTTCCGAACTGATCCGCCTAATAATACAGTTCTAAATATCAAAGAGCTTATTAAGAGTTATGATAAATGCAGTACAGATAATGTATTCATTACCATTGCTTCGCTTGCGCATAGAACTTGTGCTATTTATGAAATAATCTCATCCGACAGTGTAAGGCTTATTAAAAAGAGTTTGCAAAGAGCCAGTTTTCCAGATCACTTTTATGAAAGATACTTTCTCTAATTTAATTTATTAAATGATTCACTGTCATAATTTTTCAATGCATCAACCACATTACCTTGAAGATTCTCTAATATTGAAGTGTAAATTAAAATAAAGTAAAATATATACTAAGACCGTATTAGTCAAGATTGTCTCCTCCGATGAAGCAGATTGAACATTTTCTTGCTCTTTTTTCCTTTTGGCACTTTTTTTAAAAAACATACGACATTCTCAATTGTCCGTTCAAAATTTCTCTAATGCTAGCTACCAATTTTTTCTAAAGCTATCTTGTCAGAAATTATTATTTCATTCATTATTATTTGTATTATATGCTTGCTTTGTTACTCTAATTGTTTACTTTTCGCACGCTGCACCTTTCCCTTTGCATTCGTTTTGAATTTGTGTTGCTGAAATGGTATTCATAGATGATCAGGTTCCTAAAATTGATAACACAAGCCGTTTCAACTCGCAAGGTTTTCTCGTGTGGAGCGATCAGTGCAAAATATCCAACTTGGATCCGTATAAGCCCGAGGTAATGCGCCATTTCAAAAGATCCAAGTACAAGCCCTGTTCGACCCGCAAGCCACTGACCAATGTGGGCTTCGATGAGGCGACCAAACGGTATGTGCTGAGTATAAATGGACGAGCACTGGATTCCTACGATATTGATGGTTCACTGAGATGCTGCTGGATGGGCATCGAACGTCAAAACGAAACCAATGTTAAGTGAGTATTTAGAAGACTGGGGATGATACGAACGATGATCACCATGGCTATGTCAAAACATTTCTTAACGCTTCATTGTCATTGCAGCTACACCGACTGCGAGAACTTTAAACGTCGTGTTCAATTACCCAATACAACGGATAGCATTATAGTCAAATGTTTCTCAGGAGCGAACGAGATTTACATCAATGCACATGCCATGGTGCCAGAACGGAGTGATGTGCGAGAGCGCCTTCAAAACTGGACCAAAAAGGAGGCGCCCAGTGTGCTCATGATAGGGATTGATAGCATATCCCGAGTCAACCTCATACGCGCTATGCCCAAGACGGCGCAGTATCTGTACGATAATTCCTGGTTCGAGCTAGCTGGCTATAATAAGGTAAGCAGATGAGAAATTTATGCTCCAACTCCAAAACTACAAATTTAACATAAATAAGTAAACAATAATGGTATATAAGCTTCTTCATTAGATTTTGTAAATTCTTGTGAACATTATATCTAAATTGAGGAGTATATATTATTATTGATGGCTAAGGATATTCCAAGTTTAAAAAAGCTTCCATAGTACTATATAATTTGGTTTCATATACATGTATGAATGCATAAGACATCAAAAAAAAACATTTTCTTAAACATTCTATTTAAAAGTTCTATGATTAATTTTTTTTCAAAATATTTTTGGAATTCAAGAAATAATTTCAGAAAACTCAATTAAATTTTGTTATTAATTGTGTCGTTTGAAATGACTTTGGCATTATTATTGATGGCTAAGGATATTCCAAGTTTAAAAAAGCTTCCATAGTACTATATAGTATAATTTGGTTTCATATACATGTATGAATGCATAAGACATCTAAAAAAAACATTTTCTTAAACTTTCTATTTGAAGGTTCTATGATAAATTCTTTTATCCAATCTTTTTTTTTGGAATTCAGGAAATAGAAAGTCAATTAAATATGGTTTTTAATTTCATCGTTCGAAATCACTTTGTCAAAGTGAAGTAAACACTTGAGTACGAACATTAATTTTATTATTTTTCAACAATTTATTTGTGAAACGATTCCAAAATAAATTGTTTTGTAAAATTCCGGGCACTAAATATTAGAAATGCTTCTGCATACTCATAGGCTATATAAGTCTCTGAAAACATAGCACCCAGAAATATAGAATACCTTCGCAAAAATGTTAAACATTTATTTATTCACTTCAATATTTATCTATCCCCTAGATCGAAGACAATACATTCCCAAACATAATGGCGCTGGCAACCGGCTATAATCTGAGCGAAGCGATTTCGAAATGCCGGCCGGATCAAGAGGGCGGACTGGACAAGTGTGAGTTCATTTGGCAGCTGTATCGGGACCACGGCTATGTGACAGCCTACGGTGAGGACGCGGTGGTCATCAATACGTTTAACTATTTGAAGAAGGGCTTCAAGGATCCACCCGTCGATTACTATATGCGACCATATCTATTTGCCGCAGAGAAGCTCCTCAGCATGACCGTGGTCTCGGGCTTGCCACACTGCCTGGGGTACAAGCATGCGGCCGAGCATGTCTACGACTATGCCCTCGAGTTTGCACGTCGATTCAAAGACGACACCTATTTTGGTTTCTTCTGGACCAATACGCACAGCCACAGTGATATCTCGCAGAGCACGACGATGGACGTGTATTTGCGGGATTATCTGCAGGAGCTCGTCCAGCTGGGCACCATGAACAACACTATTGTGATATTCTTCAGTGATCATGGATTGAGGTTTGGGCCGACACGAGCCACCTGGTCTGGTCATATGGAGGAGCGACTACCCTTCATATTCATTTGGCTGCCGCCCAGCGTTAGAAATGCTCATCCAGAATTCGTTAGCGCCCTAACTCTCAATCGTAATCGTCTGACTAATCCGTACGATCTACACATGACGCTCAAACACATCTTGAGGCTATCGGGACGGGTGCCTAGCAAGGATCCGCTTGGTGGTCCGGCAAGAGCCTGTGCCCAATGTCATAGTCTCTTGCGGCCGGTCGCCGAAAATCGGAGTTGTGCAGACATAGGCATCGCGGATCACTGGTGCACCTGCCACCCCTATGATGTAATCTATACGGACTCCAAGACGGTCCATATGCTGGCCAAACGGGTCGTCCTCCATATCAACAAGTTCGTTGCGGAGTTCCACAACGGCAGCTATGCGAAGCTATGCCAGCCACTCTCCTACATGAGCGTCAAATCGGCCTATCGGGCACAGCGCAACGTTGGCGACCTTCCCCATGTTAACACCTATCGCCTGCTCTTCTACACCCGACCCAATAAAGCGCTCTACGAAGCCACTGTGCGCTACAACGACCAAAGTGATGTTATGCAGGTGACCGGTGGTGTGAGCAGACTGAATATGTACAATGGCGAGGCCGATTGCATGATGGATTTTGCACCGAAGAAGTACTGTTATTGCCGGAACAGAAGCGGCTAAAAGTTAGATTAAATGTTAGCAGAGTGTTTTAAGCCTCAAGTGCCGTTATAGAGCATAATAAGATATATATAAATAAATATACATATATGTAGCTATAGTTTTAGTTATACTATAGAGCTTAGCTTAGTGTTCAGTCGCAATAATTACTTAAAGCATTATATTGGTGCTCACCAGCTACCAAACGAACAAAAAATATTAAAATGAACTGGAAAAGCATTGGAAAATCAGATATTTTGAAAGCACAATCCGGCTCGTATTATTAATTTCAGTTCAGCTATTCATTATAATGTTTTTAGTATTAAACTAAAATTTTACATTGGTTGGCCAAATTGAAAACTTCCACAACTCATTGTAACTGATAGATTGTTCAATATATTCAAGCAAAAGGTGTTGATATTTTGTTATCTATTTATTATAATGTTTAATATTTGTATGTACACTTTATATATAGTACATAAATATGTAATACACTGGTCTCCAAAATGTATACAGTTGCTTACAAAACTCATAGCTCAGAATCGTTTAATTTGAATATTGTTCAATATTTAAACACGCCTATGGATATTTTGTTATATTTTCCCCTCTTAGCCCTGTATATATGTATGTGTGAATGTATTATGTTATAATAATGCCAAATTTATGTCACAAATCCAAAATAAAACACCAATTATATTATTACAAGTACGTACCCGTATATTCTTTTGAGTATGCAATACTCATTGCTTAAAATTAGATTATAATAATATTTACAAGTGCAGAAGATAGTTTCTACAAGATTATAAATAAATAGATTTTGTTAAACATTTGTGCATAAACATAAATACTAAATAAAAATAAATCATAACATATAATTTTATTTTAATCCAAATATACAATTGCAGAGCGGTTCGGAAGTCAGCTGTCTTTCTAAAGTCATTTCAAAATACATGGATATATTCATATTTATTGAGCATACGTCGGTTAGTATGCGCTTTATCTATAATCGTTTTGGCGTTTAGGCGAACGTCGGTAAGCAGTAAAAATAATAATAAACGAGAGCCTAGGGGGTCCGGGCAAAAACGACTATTCGAAATTTTCATTGAGGTAGTAGACATGGTTGGATTATCGCCTAAAATCTACGGTCTTTATCGAGCCGACCTTTTCCGCCCTCTGCTCTAAAAACTTAATTCAAACTTTTTATCTTATTTTAGCTTTCACTATATGATGAACACAACCAAATGAAAATAAACTTGACATATATTTGGAAATATTGTCTTTTTAAGGTATTGTAGCCTAGACTCTGTAAGTAATTATGTGCATGCAGATTTATAGAAATCTTTAAAATGAATGCTTTCCATTCCACTCGGTATATTTTTCCTTAAAACTAAAACTATTTAAAAGGTTCTTGAAAGACTTAAAGAATTTTGTCAGAGGGCTGTTGCGTTGCAGGCCCAATGGGTCGTCGGGCATAGGTTTCAATTCGATGCGTATATCCTTGTAATCCTCACTACCGCGCAGACTCAAAATAGCCTGCAAGTTAACCGTATATGCGGATTTATTTTGTCGCTCCCTAAGATACTGAAGTGTTTGCGTGCGCTGATATTCAAAGAACGAACCATCCTTTGTACGCTGAAAATTACGCGCTGCCCAAGTGTTCAAAGACGTAGTAATGTGCCATGTATAATTCAATTGCAATGGCAGTGTTTTATCCGATGGTTCTGACTCGACTGGCTCCAATTTCATAGCGTAAATGTGAGTTAACATTTCTTGAATGACATCCACATAGAATTGCATCCAATAGTAATAAAATGTATGTTCAGTCTTTAGATTCTTCGCTATAAATTCGGTACGCAAACATTTCAACTCATTACTGGTTGGTCTCAAATTTGTTACATGCGATATATGTAAGGATCCGCCATTGGTTTGCTCTTCTGTTTGGTTGCGCTGCTCGTTCTGGGACTGTGGCTCACCCTTTTGTGAACCATTCTTATCTAGCTCGATAACACTTGCTGGTTGTTTTCGCAGTTTAGCCGGACGGGCGGAAGAATTTATTTCACGTATTATTTCCTCAGTCAATCCAAACAGTAAATAATCGAAGAGCTTGGGCGGCGCTGTTTGTAACTTACGATCGTTAACAGCTTGTGAAGCTAATGCCAGACATTGTCGCAGGTATATTAGATTATTTGAGGATATGGTTTTGGCCACATTGTGGTTCAATTCGAATGGATCCTGGACACACACACAGCGCTGTGTTTGCAACATTTCCGGCGGCTCACCTCTGTGTGTTTCAATTGCGCGCATTTGTTGAACATATTCCGGATATTGTTCGAGCTGGTCTAAAGCCCCTTTACGATCTAACGCACGTCCCAGATATGGTGTAATCACTATCTTCTCAAAATCCATATTGGTGTAGAACTCAAAAAAACCGGCAATCAGATCCTGTGTCTTCAATAACTCTGGCAATGGCTTCATATCGGTCAAATTATATGCATAATTAATCCCCCAGACCAGCATCGGCTCACAGTGAGCTTGCATCTCATTGATGGACGGCAGTTTATATCGCTGTTGAAGGTAGTATATTATCAATGTAATAAGGCAGTAGCTGGTCATACTGCCATGTCCAATTAATTTCACACTCTTGGCCCAGACCTTCAGAAATATAAATAGCTCACGCAGTCGCTGATCCATGTTTATGAGATCGCAAACGAAACGCGAATTATATAAACTATTTGGATTCGACATATTAATATCCAAGCTGAGGCCGGTCAGCTGATGCTTGCACTTTATAATCGGAACTCGTGCATGGCGTATTGCAAATACATCAGTGAAGCAGTTTGAACGATGCAAAAATTTGGTGACCATATTAAAAAGCTGCTTACTCGATGCTTCTGATAACTGATCATCATCGGGCTTTACATACAAATCAAGATCGCTATCTGTGAAAGATGAATGGGAGTCATACGTGTTTGGGACACATTTGTAATCCCAAAAGAACTCACCCCTTAATGCCAGGCCTGTGACGAGGGAACCAAATGCAAATACCTTCACCCGACAGCGGAATTCCCTTTCAATGCAGTTGCGCACATGACCAAAGCAGTTGGTCAGTTTCTGTTTATCGCATGCATAGAAACCCAAAAGCGCGGACAATTCCTTGAACGGCTTAGCCAGCTCTAATACCTCCTGTAATTTTTTGCGTTCCGCTTGATTTTTATCACTATTGATTACCTTGGCCACGGTATTCAGAAGTTGGCGTGCTGCTCGCTTTGGATTATTCGAATGCTGTCTGAGCTCATGAGCCATGCATTCCTTAATGTTGTCAAATCTTGCGCCACATATTTTGCAATCGTCTTGTTTATTATCACCTGGCGGCTCCTGAAAAGCCCTTGTCAGTTTCATTGTTTGCATGGCGGCTTCTGACTGAAAGTACAGTTTTTGTATGAGATGATTATATACAAATTTTTATTGAACTTTTTGATAAATGTTTACACAAACTACTTTGAATGACATACAGAACTAGGCAATAATGCTTTTGCCCGTGCGTCGGTCGACAACGCGTTCAAAATACGAGGGCGCAATGCATCCATCTACGCCAGCGCAAAGGATAACATTGTTTGAGGAGCGGTAGAGTGGTATCTGATCAGCCAGCACTTTGACAATATTCAAATATATGAGCAATTGGCAGTCGTGACGAAAACCGCTAATAGTATTAGTGTTTTTACAACCGCTACTGCCACAGCCGCCAGATGCTGCCGTCACCGACGTCAACAATTTATCGCTTGCTGCGAAATGCACCTGATTGCGACCGAGACGTTTGAGGCCCTCCCTTTTAATTCGTTCCCAGTTTTTATAGTAAGTACCATGAACGGCCATTGGCACCCTACTGGGCTCCACAATACGTTCCAGGCACGCCTCAGCCTGCACAACGGACAGCGAATGTCCTTGGTTGGCGCGAATCTCGTAGGTAGTGTTCTGTTCACGTGGTCGCACACGCAAAGTGTATCGCTGTTTTTTGTCATTGGCCACGATCTCCTGCAGCTTTGTTAATGAGAGTGCTTTGAATCTTGAATGTCGAAGAATGTCAGCGACGGCTACAAATCCGTCTTCTCCAATGGCAATTCCCTGTTTTTGCGCTCCATGTCGCAACAGCCAGGTAAGTTGTTTACTTATCTGTTCATTGTCGGCCTTCGGAGGTGGTGGCATCATTGGGACTGTAGGTTGTGTTTTTTTCTTCTTTTTTTTACTATTTATATACACCACTTACGACTCAACAATTTTTACCTTTTTCTACTTTTTAAACAATTTTGCAATATTCCAAGCCAAATATACTAATTAAATGGAAAAAGATATAAATATATTCGATATAAAGCAACACCGATTTCGATAACTGTGATTTGTAAAAACACATGCATTCACAACCACGAGAATATCTGTACCGGAAACACGTTTGATTTGAATTTTTTGTTTACGTGAACCCAATTTAAACAGAAGGCATAACGACTGTTTTGACTTGTGTTAAAGATATATTTTTTCAAAAAATTATTAATAACGATTATTTTAAAATATTTTAATTACGTATATACGCAATCTTAAAATTATGTGATATGCGACGGAATTCGCCAGGAAAGCGGCCACTTCAATGACAAACACAGTCAATTTTAAACCCTGCTCTGTGTAATTTTCAGCAATCACGAATACCCTTATTATTTATTTTTGTAGTCAGACACAGGTTGAAAATTGTTTTGACACAAGTTTCGGATATATATATTTCAAGTAAGATTAAATACGTTACAAAAAACATCACATAGTTTAAGCTTCGTTTAAAGCATCAAGTTTTTTCCAGAACGTCTATCTACAACGCGCTCAAAATACGAAGATGTAATGCACCCATTTACTCCAGCGCATAGAATAACATTGTTTGTGGAACGATAAAGTGGAATTTCATCAGCCAGAACTTTGGCTACATTCAAATAAATAAGCACAGGGTAGTCATGTCGCAAGCCGGATATATTGTCACCAATTCCACCTGCTGCTTTTGCCAATTTATCGCTTGCAGCAAAATGCACCTGATTGCGTGGAAAACGCTTGAGGCCCTCATTCATTATGCGTTTCCAGTTCCTGTAGTAGATCCCGTGTACAGCCATAGGGACCTCACTGGCCTCCAGAATACGTTGCAAGGAGGCTTCTGCTTGTACAACAGGCAATGAGTGTCCCTGATTGGCGCGTATTTCATAAGCAGTGTTCTGTTGGTTCCGCCGCAATGTGTATCGCTGCTTATTATCACTGGCAACGATTTGCTTTAAGCTTGTCAGGGACAGGTCTTCAAACATAGGATGCTGCAGAATGTCGGCGACGGCTACAAACCCATCTTCCCCGATAGCCAGTCCCTCCTTTTGAGCGCCATGTCGCAACAACCAGGTAAGCTGTTTGTCTAACTGGCCGGTATCTAGTCTAAGACCATCCATATTGTAATTGCAGATAAATGCTTAGATTACATTTTTTAGGTTTAGAAAGAGAAGTAAACAGATTAAACCGATGACTAAGTTATTTGCGACAACTAGAGATGACCGATGAGAGCTTTTCTGCTTCGATTTGCTAGCGATCATGACTTGGAGCAAACAAAAATTCGGAAAACAAAAACAAATTAGTTTACAAACAATTTACAAACAATTACAAAATTAACTAATTATTTAAATTCATTACGTACGATTCATATCGACTGTATTATTATCATTAGTATTATTCGTTGAGTTTTGCAATTATCGTGTTTTCCTTATCTATAGTGGCTCTACAGCTGATTTGTTATCAATCGCGTGTTAATCGTAATCAGCTGTTCACATTTAGTTTTTAGAATTTGTTAAATTTCAAAATTATGCGATTATTGATACTTTATGGCAGTCAGACGGGCACCGCTCAAGATGTAGCCGAGCAACTGTGGCGCGAATCGAAGCAATGGGGCTTAGACGGCCCTGTTCTGGGTTTTGACGATTACGAAATACAGCAATTGGTAGAGGAGCGTTTGGTTATCTTTGTAGTGGCCACCACCGGCGATGGAGTTGAACCGGATAACATGAAACGAGCTTGGCGCTTTTTGCTGAAACGAAGCTTGCCACCCGACTCACTAAGTGGTTTACAGTTTGCCTGTTTGGGACTGGGAGATTCCAGTTATCCAAAATTCAACTATGCTGCTAAGAAACTACATAAGCGTCTGCAGAACTTGGGTGCCGAAATGCTATGCCCGGTTGGACTTTGTGATGACCAACACGATCATGGACACCTGGGCACGTCTTTGCCCTGGAGTGAATCACTGTGGACCACATTAAGTCAAAACTTGACATTGAAGCAGTGTACAGAGCATACGAAAATTGAACATTTGCACAAATGGGACCTAAAGGTACTGCCTGGATACTGCCAGGCATTAGATGAGGAACGTTTGCAGTGGACCCAAAAAACGTTACCCATAAAACTGAAATTGGGGGAGAACACTCGCACAACAACCCCGGATCACTTTCAGGATGTGCGTTTTCTGCGTTTCAGTTACGCCGACGAAGCAGCGATAACTTGGCAGCCTGGCGATATAGTCGATCTACAGCCACAAAATAGTCCGGAGAAAGTGAGTGATTTCTTTGAACTCCTAAGTGAGCATAAACTGGAATTCAATGAACAGACAGTAGTACAAGTGAGTAGCGCTCATAAGGATATGCCACTGCCTATTGCCTATACAAAGCCCATTCCATTGAAATATGCGGCCAAATATATATGGGATTTAACTGCGAAGCCGCGTCAGCGCTTCTTTGAGGTGCTCTCCCAGGACTGCGATGATGAGCTGGAGCAGGAGAAGTTACTGGAATTCAGCAGTCCACAGGGTTTGGATGACTTAATAGCATATGTGAACCGACCACGTCGAACACTGCTGGAAGTGTTGCAGGATTTTAGACACGCATCGGCTAAATTAACATTGTCTAAACTTTTTGAGATGATGCCTCTCATTCAGCCACGTAGTTTTTCGATAGCATCGGACGCGTCAACTTGTAGTCTCGACTTGCTAGTGGCTGTGGTCAATTATAAGACGATATTGCAAGTACCTCGACTGGGTCTGTGCTCCAATTGGCTGAAGACTCTACAGCCGGGTGTTGAAATCAACGGCTCGATTAAGCCCGGCACCATGGGCCTGCCCAAAGACTTGACGATTCCGCTGATAATGGTTGGGCCTGGCACTGGAATTGCGCCATTTCGTAGCGTTGTACAAAATCGTCTGCATGCTCAGCAATCAGGTGATAAAGTGGGAACTCTGCTTGTGTTCTTCGGCTGTCGCAATAAGAAGCACGATTTCCATTTCGAGGACGATTTCATTGCATGGCGTAAGGCCAACATTGTGGAGCCATTTTTTGCATTTTCCCGTGATGGGGAGCATAAGGTGTATGTACAACATTTGATTAAACGCGAGGCCGTAAGACTCGAGCCACTGCTCAGGCAGCAGAATGCCCATATTTATGTATCAGGATCATCCAATAGTATGCCCAAGGCTGTTAAAGAAGCCTTTATTGAGGTGCTGAACGGGGATGTTAATTATGTGGAAGGCATGATCAAAGCAAAACGGTATCAGGAGGAAACATGGTCGTGATTAGTTCCTAGTATGCACAAAATATATTTTAATGTAGACAAATTAAATAAGTACTGGACGGAAATTGAATGTAAATTAACAGATTTATATTAAATTAAGATCCTTTTTAAAAGCCTTCCAGCAGCTTATCGGTTGGCGTGCGGCAAAATGGACAGTAACCTTTTTGCAACGCTTGCAGCTCAAAGTCTTCGGCATAGAACAGCTAAAATTTTTAAATTATAAATGTATGCATCATTCTGGGAATTCGAAAAACTTACAAGAAAACACTCCGGACAGTAAGTAATTTGAAGATCCGGCAATATGTTGCGATAATAAATATTGCGCACATTTTTGTCATGACGCTTGAGTATTAATACATGATTCGGATCAATGGCACGCAGGGCGTTGCGATCTAAGCTTAAAGGTAAAGCACTGGCCACATCCTCATTGAAGGGATCCGCATCCTCACCAGACTTGGCGGGTGCCAAGAGCAGGCGTTCAGCCTCCGCATCCGAGATATCCACTTCGGGATAAAATTGTACTAAGGGCAGGATTTCTGTAAATGAAAAATGAATTGAATTGCAAGATTCCTAACACATGTTTGCATATGGATTATACCAAATGAAACAAATGAGAATATGTAGTCCTGTTTGCAGGTGGGGCAACTATTGTTGTTTAAATGCTGACTATAGTTGGAACATTTGTAGCACAAAGGCAACAATTCCTCGGGATCATTGAAGCCACTTTTACAGGCTTTGCTATTTAGGAAATTGATCTGCAAGTAAGAAATGGTATTTAGCCATTTACACAATCCTTTTCGATAAAGTAAAACACTAATACATACATCAATTTGTTCCTGCACGCCAGCTGGTGGCTTTAAGGACTGCAAACGTTTGTTGACCAAAAGGCACAACTTGTTGGCCTGTAGAAATTTTGCCTGCTTGGCTAGCGTAAAGAGCACGGAACTGTAAAAATATGCAAACTATTATTAGCTTATGGTTTCCAATATATGTATAGTACATAAATGGAATAAACTTACAACATGCTCACTCCTTTGGGCGCGCCCTTATGTTCCACTTCGTTCAATATGAAACGGCTCACATTAAAAAGACTTACTGGGGAGTGTGTGGTGAAGGGCTCCTTCATATAATTATATATGACACTGTAGGCATAATAAACTTTGGCAATGCGCATATGATTTTTGTACTCATTCAGATGATGATCAATAGGATTTTGATTTCTTTGGAAGTAACAATGAAATATTAGTTTACATTAATGCTGATACCTACAGCTTATGAATGGACTTACGCCTTTTCGTGGTACATGTCCAAATATTGCCTGGCCAGCAGAAAATAAAAGTAACTTGTGTCCAGATAACGTTCCTCAGCTATGGCAGTATTGCTGAGATGTTTCAGCAACCGATTGGCATCCTTAGTACGACCGGCCTTTAAATAGGCTATAATAACGATTTAAATTAGACTATTTTTAAAATAAGTTGAGTAAACATAACAGAAAACTTTTCCTTTCTCTGCATGCCAAGTAGTTACAATCTAGCATATATACTCTCGAAATAATTATAAATATAGTTTTGCCCTTCGTTAAAAGCCACCCACCTTGATGTGCTTCAATGAATTGATCCGTTTCCGCCAGCCATTGCGCATGTTGATAGTGGACTGTGGGTAACAGATCCGGTAGAGATTCGGCCAAGCGAAACGCTTCATTCCAATCGTGCTCCTCTACATGTAACTGAACCACTTGCGCCTCATCACCCAACTTTTTAAATATCTCAGATGCCAATGGCAGAGCCTTTAAAGTTTTCAAGTTCTGGGCCACCGATTGTAGAGCATCGCGTTCACTTAAGCTCAAACGACGTCCGATATCATAGAGGCTGCAAAATAGTGCTTGAGCTTAAATAATATATAGGGATATAGTTTATGTATACGCACACATCGGCCCATCCTTGTTCGGCTACAATATCGATGGCTTTTTGATGTTCGCCAGCTGAGAGCAACAGTTCGGCAGCAGCTCGCGGTTCCCTCACCGAATACGCCCATTCAGCGCGTTTGCACACCAGTTCGCGTTTCTCCGCCTCGCTACCATCCTTAAGGTACTCCTGTGCCAAATCGAACATACGCAGATCTGTGTACATTTCAAGGGCACGCTGCGTGTGGTCGCACTTTAGAAAAAGGCGTGCGGCCTCCTTGAATTTACCAGCAAAAGCACAATTCTCCGCCATCAACACCTCCTTAGGCACTGCAGAGCGCTGCTGTTGTTCACGCAGCTCAGCTATGAGCTGCAACCAGGGAAGATTGCGTATCTTGACATAAGCATTCCGCGCTATGTTTATATGAAGCGCCTCCAATGCGGATTGGGCCAGGCCCTCCCAGTCACTTGTGGTAACGCCTAGACAGGCGACCTGATATGCTTCGCTGAAAGTAAAGCGTAGCTTTAGAATGGAATTGCGAGGCCAATTAACGTAGAAGTGCACCCAAGTTGGGTGACAAATGAAATAGGAAACGAAAGCGTCGACGAGCTCGCACGTCAGTAAAGTCATTGTTAAGTGAATGGATCAATCCATAACGAAGTTTCTTTCTTTCTTCCGACTCTTCCAGAGAACTACACTTTTTTATGAGGAATGTGGTGCTTCTATTGTCCCTGTAGGAAACCTATATACTGAGTCATAAAATACCACTAAGGCCTTGTCTTTTCGGTTTGGGACCCCCATCTAAAATATAATAAATACCAATCGTTATTGCCTTTGCATATTTTTTCATATGCCTAATTTTAAAATGGCTTGCACGCAGCCCTAGTTCCCAATCCCCCCGAATCCTATTGAGAACCTCTGGGCCATCATATCATATCATAAGGCAAAGAAGTATATACTAACAACTTTAAAGACTTAACAGAATCAATTATTCAAGAATATATAACGTTGGATGTCATATTATATTGTTCGCACATCATACTGGGGGGTTGTGCAGATTAATTTGAAATCTATAAAGTACTAATAGGGGTTATTCCTATTTGCTATAAAATTTCAAACAGGAAAAATAAGATTCTATCATAAATGTGGCATCGTTGACAACTTACTCAAACAGGCCCGCTTCTATGAACTGCCACATGGTTGCGCCCAGTGCTAGGGGCGTATTATGCATAATGTTCCCACGTAGACAAAAAGCAGTGGCACCACATAGCCCCACAACCACTCCATGCATATTCTGTGGTGCACGCGGTGGTAAGTTTCCGACACGAACGCTTAATCCTCCGGTGGTATGGGTATAGCACAGCATGCTATCTAAATGTGTGTTCCAGGTAACCGAATTGACGCCCGAGTCCTGATACAGCATAGTATCGTTAACTATGTCACGAACCAACAGGCGACCAGCATCATCGACAACAGCTATTTTGCTGCGAACAGAATTGATGTCCAAGCAACGCACCGCAGACACCACCGTGGTAATCAACAAAGGCAACGAGTTGTCCAGAAATATACGAAACACTTGACCATTCTTTAGACCCACCATGAGACCTTCACGTCCCACGGGTCCACCCGTCACTTTTATGTAGCGTATAAAGGCAAGCATCATCCACTCGCGCTCCAGTGTGCCCGAAAAGTCTAGACACTGTAATCGTTTTTCTTGGCAGAGCACAATGTGGCGTCCACAGACCACCAACAAACTGCAGTCGAACTTCTTTTGTATCTTCTCTTTTACCTTGTAATGCATTGGCTGATCTTCGCCAGAGCTGAGCTCGTACAGTACCACACGCTCCGGCAGCTGAACAGCCAAACGATTGCGATAGATGGCAATTTTCTGTACCAAATCTCGACACTTAATGCGCACCTTCTGGCCCGATATCAAATGCTGGATTATCACATCGCACATGTTCTCACGAAAGGCATACCGTTCGCGATAAAGCGCGTGCACAGTGCTGGAGGCAATGTTAAAGCATGCCAGCGTGCCGTCCTGACAGCCAAATGCATACGACTGTCCATTAGGATGCAAGGCGACCGCCCAAATCCATGAGTCGAATCCGTCGCCAAGTGTTCCCAGACGCACTCCGTCACGAGTAAAGAAATGCAAGGAGCCCGTGCAACCGCCAACCAAACAAAATTCTCCATTGGGGAAATACTGTAGGCAAAGTGGCTCAAAGCCAAGAGCACGCTCCTTGCCTATCATCTGGCCACTGAGCGTGTGAAATGATAGCGTCTGACCCCAATCCGCAACGGCAATGGTATCCACGGAGTTGCCGCTTCCGCTGGCTGGACAGCACTGCACCCCAAAGACGGTGCTATTTGGGCCACCTGGCCGATCAATGCGTCCCTTCTCTTCTCCCAATTTATTGCGTATGGATATAGTGCCGTTGGCCAACCCTAAAACCAAGTATTGGCCATCATTGGTCCAGGAGCAGGCATTCACCCGCGCAGATATCTTGTACTTTTGTACCGCTTTCTGATCTGCTGACCAGAAGGCAAAATCCGAGATGGAGCAGGAGGCCAAATGATGCGAGATAGGATTGAAGCACATACACTGTATGGAATCTCCGTGGCTGCGGACAACAAGCATAATTTAAAGCTCTCTATGGAGGATTATTGGATGCACTTACGAATATTTGAGCAGCCCCTCCAGCTGTGGTGACCACACAATGACCATTTTATCAGCGGCGCCGCTGGCAAATCGCTTGCCATCGCGGGAATAGGCCACACAATTGACAATATCCTTGTGAGCTTTGAGGGTATTGAGCAGAGAGCCATTGTTGGGATCGTAGATAAGTAGACGGTCTCCAGCTGCCACAATTAATTGATTACCATCCGGCGAATAACAAACGGCATGAACGCTAAAAACAAAAACCCATGTAGAGTAACAGGTTGTTGCAACTGCAACTTGGTGCGAATAGCCGTACCTGGTTTGCTCATCCTTGCCATTGGGAAACTCGATACGCTCCAACCATTTGAGCACACCACGCATTTTTTCAAAAACTCAAAGGACGGCTATACCTGCTGCATAATTGAATTTTTCTAATGTTTTTATTTGGCTTGGTGCATCATTTCCATGACAACGGTGGCGCCAGTACTTTTGCACATCACGTCTATCGATATCGATAAGTGGCTTCTTGATTATGTACCTGTTCTTTTGTCCACCTCTAGGCTGTTTACATCGTTCGCAGCTGACTGCAGTAGCAGCAGAATTTGCATTAAAAAATATAAACTAAATAATAAAGAAGTAGGAAAAACAATGAACAACTTGGACAGTTCGCTGCAGGCGCATAGTAAATTGGAACAGGAAACAACCAATTTATCACTACTTAGGGACCGCGTCGACAAGTACCATGATTTGTCGACGCAAATGTCTACTATTTTGACCATATTCGAGAAGCGTTTGGGTAATCTGGAACAAACCATACTGCCTGTCTACCAGGAAACAGAGCAACTGCAGAAGCGCCAACAAAGTAATTATAGTTAAAATGAAAATTAAACTTTTTTTTTTGTATAACGCCCACCCGCATTTTAGATTTAGAAGTCACACTCACCTGCTTGGAAAGTGTGCTCTCACACTATGATGTATCGCAGAAGGTGTGTGAGCTCATACATCAGGGGCCCGTTGAAGGGAACATAGGCGTATTTCTCGAGGCACTGGCCAAACTGCGCTCTGCTAAGGACTACTTTCTGTCCAACAATTCCCAGAGTGTGGAACTGGAAAATGTGACGGGTCTATTCAACACCGGCTGCGAGGGTCTCAATCAGCATTACAGCGAGCTGCTGAAAAAACATAGTGCACCACTGAAACCTGTAGAGCTGCTAGACTTAATCTACATCGAGGATGACTCATCGAGCGATGAGTACACATCTTTTCGCCAATTGTCGCAGAGCACCCGTGAGGAATTGTACACCATTTCGCATTGGCTGGAGCAGGAATTGAGAGAGTACACACACATCTATGCCAAAGAGCGTGGAGACGTTGTATTGCGATCTCTGCAACTGCTTAAGGACCATCAGAAAAGCAGCAGCTGGGGACACGAAGCTATGGTGAGTACCCGAAAAAAGCTTAGGTTGTAAAATGCAACGCTGTGTTAAGTGACATTTCGACTAACGGCACTATTCCCGTGAGTTATATGACAGTTTCAACATGGCCGCCACCATCGGCGCCATTCTATTGCAAACGCTTGTGTAGAACGTCTCGTGAATCTTAAGTGTATAATTTGTTGAAGTGTTTTAATTGTAAATCGCACTTCCCCAAAAATGGAGGAATGCCGCACGCCTACAAACAACGCCCAATTCACCTTCACTCGTACGCCCACTTTGCGCAGAGATCCCAAATGGAATGGCTTAAAAGTTAATACCCTCAATGTACGTTGCTCGACCCCCATACGTTTCGACTTTCGTTCGCCGAACTTATCGCCCATCAAAAATGCACTGGGATGCAAAAGTCCGGCCACACCCATGTGTGCAACCATGTTCAAGAAGCCGATTCTCAAACAGCAGCAGCAGCAGCAACGTCCGCTGATGGCGATCAAAACAGCCAAAACTGCCGTCAAACTTCCCAAGAAACTGGACAAGAGTAACTGCAGTTTTGAGCTCGGCTCAGATGATTCCTCCAGCAGCGGCAACAGTACGGATAATTCGCTGTGCTCAGAGACCCGGCGCCTTTCAATTCGAGCCTCCAACCATTCCTATGTGGTCAATCATGCGGTCAACGTGGAGGATGTACTCATTCGTGTGGGTCTAGAGAATTATATGGATACATTCCTACAGGCTAAAATTGAAGTGGCCGATTTGGTTTGTATGGGACGTGATGATCTGAAGAATATGGGATTGCGCCGGGAGGAGGATTGCACTCGCATACTTGAAGTGCTGCGTACTCTGTAGGCGGTACCTTATAGCATTCAGCGGCTGGGCCGTCAAGCTGTTCATTAGATTAAGTTTTAAAATATCATAAGTTCCAAAATTTGTATGTCAGCTTTCATAATAAAGCAATGATTTCTTTTAAATTTGTCAACCATTTGGTATTAATAAAAAAAATTGATGGTAAATTATAGAATTTATTTCATTGAAAATATTTCTATCTCTACTTTAGGGTCGCTAGGTTGATTTTTCTGAAGGTAAAGCGAAGTTTTGAGGGGAACTCTTAAAAGATTTTCTAACCGTATCGTTCGGGTCTGATTTTTGAGTTTCCATGAAAACTGGTTCTTTTCTTAATACTATAATTACTTGAACCTGAAATGTTTATTTTTACCTCTAAAAAAATTGCAATGGTCTGATAATGGAGGGCGCTTCAATTATAGGCCATACTCTTATATAAAAGCCATTTCCACATTTACAGAAACCCCGTCACAGTGGACGTCAAGTCGACCCCAAGAAGAACGCTTCAACGCGTATGCAGCAATTGTGAGTTAGATCCCAACTTAAGAAACTATTGAAATAATCATTCATTTATTTGCCTCTTAGCTTTGAGAAGAAAGCCAACAAACTTGTCTGCCAGTTGGAGCAATCCACAGGCATTTCCATTAAGAAAGCTTCTTCACATTCGGAATATTTGACTTCTGAGGATTTGCTCGATGGCGATCAGGAGCTGGATAAATATCTTGTTATGCTGCTGGGTCTACAGCGTCTGCTCAACTGGGAGCGGGCCATTATGCGTGAAATTATACCGCAGTCGAAGCACAATGAAGTGTTCTCCAACTTGGCCTGTAACGCCATCGATTTGGTGGTGAAAGATGCCGAGTCCATTACACAGCGCATTTCGCGTTGTATTTCGCGCAAGGAATGGCCATCGGCACTGGGTATATTTTCGGCCTTGAAGCGAGTCATTCTCCTGCAACCGGACATTGAACGCACCTACGATGCTGCTCAGCGGGAGCAACTAACCAAGGTGCTGAATAAGTTGCAACATACAGGCGCCAAGGCGTTGGATCATTTCCTCGATGTGGTCAAGGGTGAATCGAACACCAACATTGTGGGTCAGAGTAATGTGCCCAAGGATGCCACCGTCCATGAATTGACCTCCAATACCATTTGGTTCATAGAGAATTTGTATGTACATTTCGATGTCATTGGCGCCATATTGCAGCAGGATGTGCTTTACTCCACGCAACTGGACACAATACTGATGAAGAAGTCGTTGCAGGGCGAGGAACGCAACAAGGCTCTACTGGCTATCTATATAAGTAACGACTTTTAAACTTCTTGACTTCAAGCACTCTACCTAAAATGTTCTTCATTTTGCAGAAAAAGCGCTGGCGGAGCTAAATCTGTCCATAATGAATAAATGCGAGCAGTACAATGATCAGGCCACCAAGCATCTCTTCCGTCTGAACAACATTCACTATATACTCAAATCACTGCAACAATCCAATCTAATTGATCTGGTAAAGTTGGCTGAAACGGACTGTGAGCGGAGCTACGAGGAAATGATACGTGAGCTCAAGTTTAGCTATCAGAAAACCTGGTCCAAGATGCTCGCAGGCATCGCCGCGCTGGAAGAACTGCCCAGACCGTCGCAGGGCAAGGTTAAGGACAAGGATCGCAGCGTACTGAAGGAACGCTTCTCGGTGTGTATTAGAACTTTTAATTTATTGCTTAAACAATATTTTTTTATCACTTTCAATCCTGCAGAACTTCAACAAGGAATTTGAGGAGGCCTGCAAGGTTCAGCGCGGCATCTCCATACCCGACGTAATTTTGCGCGAAGGCATTAAGCGGGACAACGCCGAACATATACTGCCAGTTTATAATCGATTTTATGAAATGTAAGTACAGTTATCTATTTATAGAGAGAATGGATTGTAAGACAAAAATATTCAACTATTTCCTCTCTTTTTTTTAAATATAAAAATATTCTCTAACACGCCATTTTCAGATCTTATCCGCAAACTCTGAACCCAGAACTTGGTTTCTTGATTTTAAAATATTTAACTAATAGCAAAGATAGCCAATAAGCCATTTCCAGTACTTCACTGGTATAGCGCAGATATAATAAAATTCAGCTAGATATGAAATATTATTTCATATTAAACTGTAAAATTGTGTAGCTAATTGTTTCCAACATTGATAACCGATCTTATCTAGCTTTATTCCGATCTTCGAAGAAAACTTTCAAAAACTTTGGGGTCTTTGTTTAAATCCGTTTTTAAAACGTTAGTAAAATTATATGAGACAAATATTTGACTTATGCAGTAAAAGTTCCCAATTGAGAGCCACATCGGAAACGTTGCTTTTGTTGCTGAGTTCATGGGCAGAACCGTCCTGTATAACATTTCTTCCAAAAAAATGGAATAAGTTGAATCGATTACTTTGAGATTTTGAAGCGCTTTTTGTTGTACTCGTGGAACATTTGAATCAGTTCATTAAATGCAATTCTCCTATTTCGTTTCAGGTATGCAACAGTGCAGTTTAGTAAAAATCCGGATAAATATGTGAAGTTCCGGCCGCATGAGATAAACGCTATGCTAAGCAAGTTGTTTGATGACTCCGCTTAGAGTAGATCTACACGTACATAGTTAGGATCCAATCCCAAAGCCGGCCAATGTGGAGTGCAATTGTGTACGTTCGTTCGGCTTTTTAATTCCAACACAATAAATATCGTTTACAAAAATATATAGACTATAGCCTAAAAATATTAAATGCCATTATAAAATAAACGCCCAACGATTTCCCCCTCAGTACAGGAAGTTCGTTGACGGCGCCTCGGGTCTGCCGCACGCGCCATAGTGATACACGCCCACCGTGCTGTTGGTGCGACAGTTCTCAATGTCCAGGAAGCAATCGTTCAAATAGGTTTTATTATCGCTACCACAGACGGGTTCGAATTCCCGTGGGCAGATGCGTGCGCAACCCTTAAACTGGAACGCGGCTAAGCAGCGTTTCAGCGGCACTACGAACACATGCTTGCCACAATTCTCTTTCCTCATGTGACACTCAGATTTGTAGAACTTGTTGTCCGAGCCGCACACAAAATTCGGGGGCTGGGCATCACAATCTGAGTCACAGTCGGCGGTCAGTGCGCAATTCTTTAGCGATACGGGAACTACACGCAGATTACACGTCCTGCGCTTGAACTCGCACATGGAGGAGAATGTGTTACCATCACTGCCGCAGATGGGCTGCTGGGCGAGATCTGCACGGGTGCACGCATCGCCGCAATCCTTGGTAGGAGAATTGAGATCCGTGCAGGGCCCAATGTGCGCCAAGTTAACACCACGCCTGTAATAATTAATAATTGGTACATAAATAGGAGTGGTTTAGATAGGGAAGGGTATAAAATATAAATATTTATTTGTGAACTAGAGTGGGTTCGAGCGCCAAAATGGATTTTAAACTAAAATTCGATAGACATGCGATGTATGGGAAAAGTTTTGCTTGATCCTACGTCTAGATTAATGACGATTTGATAATAAACAAGAGAGAACGCTACAGTCGAGCAAGCCCGACAGTGTAATACCCTGTACCCAGGTAAACTTCCGTCACTGAGTTATATGTGCCCATAGCAGCAGCAAAAAGAGGAAGAAGAAGAGCGAACTTGTTGCTGCAGTTTGGGGGGGTTGTACTGGCGAGAATTTGTTTCGCTAATAACCTTTGTTAGAATTGAATAAAATTTTATACAACAGTAGACAATTATATATAAATTATGTGTGCAAAGTTTGGTTTAGGTAGCATTTGAAATGTGGACGCTATTGACGAAATTGTGTAGCGGGGGAAGGGGGGGGGGGGGGGGGGGGGGAATTCCAAAAAATAAAATAAACTCGTCCTTGCTCGGACCTAGGAGAATCTGGATGCCAACTTTGGTTATTCTAGCTTTTATAGTTTCTGAGATCCTTGCGTTCATCCAGACGGACAGACGGACGGACATGTCTAGATCGATTTCTCTCGTCATGCTGATTCAGAATATATATACTTTATGGGGTCGGAGATGCTTCCTTCTGCATGTTACATACTTTGCACAAACCTAATATACCCTTTTTACCCTACGGATAGAGGGTATAAAAATATGAGATTTACTTTCTTCTTAAAAAAACTCTTTAAATACCCTTCTCTTATTGTACTTTCTCACGCTGAATTGATCTTATTGGATTATCTCTTGGGTTACTTACAGACAAGTGGCATGCGCCAGCTCACACTCGTTGTTGTAGGTCTTGGCATCGGTGCCGCAGAGCTTGTCATTGCTCTTCGAGCTGAATATTGAGCCAAAGAGATTGTTGAAGTCCTTGCAGGGCGGCAGCTGCTTGCAGCGACTCAACCGGTTTTTGCACTTGTCCATGCTCATTTTCTGTATGGACTTGCGTTGAGGTCTGAATGAAGAGAGGCAAGGATTTAACATACTACATATAAAGAGCGGGCGATGGATGTGCTTACCCGCAATTGAGCATCTTAAGCTCACAGAGGGAGGAGTAGATGTTGCCATCGCTGCCGCACACATACTGTGACGGTGAATCGGACTCGCTTTTGGGGCACTCGGTGGGACAAGTCTCTGATTGACTGCTGCCATGACGTTCCTGGGGCATGCAGAAGGACAGTGGCACCTCGAAGACATGCTTGCCGCAATTAGAGGAGCGCATCTTGCAGGGACTGGCATAGAGACGACCGTCAGAGCCACAAGTCGGCCGTGCCACACGCCAGCAGGACTCACGACACATGCGCGTCGACTGGCAATGCTTGCGACTGGTCTTGACGACGCCTTGGCCGCAGGTGTGAAGCTTCATCTCGCACGTGGAGTTGTATACATTGCCGTCGGAGGCACAAATGGGCCCATCCTTGGGTGCACTGTTGCAGTCCACCGGACAGGACTCTCGAATGGCGCTCGTATTGCTGCACGGCCCCACATGCGATAGTTTGACTGCGGTCAAGCCAACGCGACAGCTCTGTACACGCAGCATGCAGCGATTCAGGTAGGTGCGTCCATCGGTGCCGCACACCGGATCCTTCTCGGTGGGGCAGCGATGCTTGCAGTCGGAGCCTTTGGACCGTTCGCAACCCTCGCGTTGATCTTTCACCATGGAGACGCCACTGCGAGCACAGGTCTTCTTGCGTAGCTCACATAGATTGGCGTAAATGAACCCATCGGTGCCACATACCGGCTCCGCTCCCACCGTCAAGCTGGGCGGACAGGAACGCGGGCAGTTATTGGCACCAGCACTGGCACGATGTCGACGCCCAAGCTGGGCCTGTTGCATCTGCTCCGTCTCCTCCCGCAGCAGCGTCTCCAGTGCGGCAGCTGCCGCTCCGGGTGCTGCCATTAACGTGGAGCTGAGCTCCGGTTGCGCATTCTGCCTATAATTGATGAGCAACGAATCGGCCTCGGCATCGGCACTGCGATAACGTATAACTGGCGCCTGAGCGGGCAGCCTGATGATCTTAATGGGCGAATCTGTTACGGCGCCTGTGATAAATTAAAAAAAAATCTAAATTATTGACAGTTTATGCAGAAGATTGGTTGTTTTATCGAAAACATACATTTTGTTGAAAAGTGTTTGTATGAAAAGCCCCAAACAGAAATGTAATTAATGATTTCCAAACGTTTGTAGAATTAAGATTAAAAGATGGGTTAAGATTGTTGAATATTTTGTGTAAGAGGTGGAAAAAATTATAAGATACATATGTATCTATATCCTGCGCCTTTCGAAACAGAAATAGACTCTGCTCGGCATTTCAATTTCTAGATATAAGGTTCCTCAATCTCATATCCTGAAATTGAAATAACCATGAATATGGCATAACAAATTAAAATTTTACAAGGTAAGATTTTCTTCTGAAATTACTATTATTTGTAAGTATTAGTAAGGAGTGTGGTTCGAAAGAAATGAAATGTTTGTTTTTCTCTGCTGAAAAGTCGTTCATTAATTGAAGAAGACAATCAAGAACTGGTCCCGTCTTGCCTCCACTCGCTATAGCTATGAATTGTTTCTTGTTCCTTTTATATTGCATGAATATTTGGGAAATACGAGACAAGCCCAACTTTGGCATTCGTAGTTCAGAAAGCCGTTAACTGATAAATGGTAAAAGGTCAAAAACCCTTATAATACATTCTATTGCACCATGAAGACGATCAAAGCTCACATTAGCAATAGATTTTAGTTTGATTTGGCCGTTACGGTTATGGGAAATTGCGCAAAAAATTTGCATTGCTTTGTTTGTTTCTTGTTGTTGCTACAATTGTTGTTGCCACAATGGTTGTTGCTGCTGAGGCCTGAGGCATACGGAAGAATCGCTCGAATCGCCGCATATAAATTTTGGATTAGGTAGCTTAGCATTTTGCGCAGTTCTAACAATGACCTACTACTGTTTATTGTTATATGTATATACGAGTACTATATGTACATACATACGAGTGTGTATGTATGCTTATGAATCTAGTAAAGGTTGGTGTATGTTAATATTGTTGCCATTGCGTGCCACCTTTATAGCTTTCCAATTGAGTGAAGTTTTGTTATAAGTTCTATGTAGGTATGTTATGCCTAGACCCGAGTCTCATGTAACGCCGCATTAACTTGTCCAATTTAAAGCTAACGGCGCATGTTATACCGCCAACTCCTCGAACTGTTCATACAAATTATGAATGTGGATATCAGACGGCCTCTATCTTAAACTATCCATGTTAATCCCAACGAAGCAACGATCTTAATCTGAGCTCAGCTCAGCTAAAAACTGCAAGTGAAATTTTCACGCTAATTGCCCCCAGCCGAAAAAATGTCTGTTGTCTTTAGCTCGTCAGAGTCGGATGTTAAGCCGTGGCGGCGGTCGCTGGGTCGCCGATTTGGTATTGTTTGCAAAGAAAGCGGACAGCAGCGCCGTGAGAGATCTCAAGTGGAGGAAGCGCACACACACATACACACCGATCATATACTCTTATATATAAGTATGTATCTACGTATATATGTACGTCAAGTAGAAAAATCTATTAGCGCGCTTGAAGCATTTGTTGCTGTTGCGATTGCTTGACTGCGATAATTGAACCCACGTTCATTATTTCAATTTGTAGCAACAGCATCTGTGGCGGCAATAAAAAAAAAACCCAAACCAGACACAGGCAGCAGCAGCAACATTCGCAGCCGCAGCTTTTAATGGTTATGACGCAGCAGCCCCAACCACTCCACCAGCTTTATCATCTTCAGGAGAATGCCATTATAGTAGAAGAAAAAAAAAAACGTAGAGAAAATTAAGCGGCGTTAGAAATTAATACAGACATAAACGATGTGCCGGACAGAGGACAGCGGGTTGGGGGGCCAGCATCCAGTCCCGGCACAAGCCCCATTCCAGGCTACTCCTGCTATCGGATGCCATCAATTGCAGAAAAAGTGCAAAACGTATAATTTTCAAAAGTGGAAAGAGCAAACAAAAAACACAGTCATACTTGCATGAGGCGGACTAGAGGGACGTGTAAACGTTTTATCTATACGAGTATATGCCGCATATACAGAGCTGCTGACCCCACAAATAAGTGTGTGCCGGTTGCACTGTGGTTCAGTTTAGATCGCAGATATTTTCAAAGCTCAACATGAAAACAAGTGGCTATCTATTTCAATGGATAAAGATGGATTTGTAGAAACAACACTAAATACTTTAAAGTTATATTAACTGCGGCGCAATTAAGGTATGGTCAGACAGGCAAACAAACTGCACACAAATTGGTCGAATTTAAAAAATAATTCTATGACACAAAAATTTCTTTGGGACTTACTTTTCCAAGCCCATATATAGAATAACATAAATTTGTGTGGAAATTAAATTCATAGTTGAGCAAAGCTTTAGATATATACGATTGTTGTTTATTAATACGATATTATTTTCTGGATTCCTCATAAGAGAAAAGCTATTTCAAATTTAAAAATAACAATCAAATCATTTAAAAAATAATAAATTAAAATTATTGTTATAGGCTAACAAATAATAGACTACATATTTATCGTCTTCTGAAGTAATAAGCAGCAATATAGCCATACATATACAAGTATTGTATTTATGTCCATACAAGTCTGTTCATCAACTATATATGATCGATTTTGGTTTTAAAAGCAATTCAAAAACACAACCATTTGAGGAATACAGGAAGCCTAATATAGTTTTGCAAAATATGAAAGAACTTTACGAATAATAAATTAATGAGATTTGAAACTCCCCAACCCCTGCTTGAAAGTGGAATAAAAAAGCACAAACTCATTTAGCACAGCAAATTTGGAGCATTTTAAGGGCTATTTCTCTAAGATTTGTGGAACATACAATCACATAATAGAAATAGTGCACAATTATCTGAGTACTACGAGTATAAAAGAGAGTATGTATGTTTAGTCTGCACAGCCATACACAATACATAAAAATTAGGTGATATTAATAAATTTTCTGTCTGTAAAATGGGATCTCACAAGTTCATCTTATAAGTATGTTGAATCACACCAAAAGTTCAACCATGAAATGCTAAGCTTACGAACAGCAATAACATATTATATATGTATTAATTCAGTTTTTTTTGGAAACTATAATTTTTAGAGTAAAATACCAATTTCTAATCTAAAACAGCTAATGATATTAATTCGTGGCCTCAAATTTCATTTAAATCTTCTTGCCAGCTTCGGTACAGTAAACACCCTTAATGCAGCGACGTTTAAATCGAACAATGTATCGGAAAACATCCTCTACATATTCATTAATAGTACATATGTATGTATGTCCAACCTATGAGTCTTAATATACACGTATTTTAAGTTTGGTGCAGTCTCAAGGGCGTACGCAGGGGGGGGAGGGGCAGGGGGACCGTTGCCCCCCTAGAAAAAATTTTCTGCGTTGGATTTGTTGAAGTTTTTTCATCGATCATATGCATAAATTATTTTTTAAATGCATCGGGCATTATTTAATCAAAATTTTAATTTTTTGGCCCCCCCTTGGTAAAAGCTGGCTACGCCCTTGTGCAGTCTATTTAGGTAAATATCGCAGTCCAGAATTATTTTAAGAATACTAAATAGGTGCATTATTTAGCTTTAATATTTATTTAAAATTAGTATAGGCATTTGAGCAACTTCGCTTGAAAGTAATAAAAAATCTAAGGTTATTTTGACTTTTCACATTTAACTGATATTACACTATTTGATTTATTTGTAAAGCGGACCTGTAAGAAAAACTATAATTCATGTGAATTTGCTACGAGAACTACAAAAAAATGTGTGGAAATGCAATCTATGACAGGTAAAGTATATAATAAGGTAGAAAGTATTGGTATTGCCGATTTGGCTAAAAGCTGTGTTTCTGACAGGATCAAAAGGGTTGTAGGTTAGCTTAGCATGACCTAAGCGAATGCGTTTACGAATTAAAAACTCACGTCGATTTAGTTCCGGATCTTGCTGGAACTCACCCTACCCATAGATGGTTCTTAAATGTGTGTGTATTTAGGGAGTTGGAAATGCAATTTTATGAAGCTAATGATGTCTGGTAATTATCCTGAGTGGCTCTTATGCAGCTTTTTAATAAATTATTTAAATCCAATTGACTGCCTTTACAAGCGACTTGGCCTTCCGCTTACACAAAGTGTGATTGAACGCATCGATTGATCAAATTATTATGAACTTGCCCCATTTAGACCTTCTTGGTGTTAAATTAATTAACAATACAGCCCCAATTAAACCCAACCAGAAACGATGACAAAGTTCAAATGCAAGCAATGTGACCTAAAAATCATGGAATTGATTTTATTTGCCTTGTAAGTAATTTTCCATTCGCATCAGCAGTGGTTTTCTCAATGTGGCGCAGTCCCCACTGTGCCACTGCACGAGTAGTTCTCAGCTACGAACCACGGTGGTGTGCGTGTGTACGTTTTAATGAATTTATTTGAATGTTGGACAAATTGTGCACGAAAAAAATTTACGAGCATGTTTGCTTGGATGGCTTCATGGGCACATGCTAAGAAGGATGGGCGGGAGGGAGTTGGCGTCTAATGTGTGGCAGTTTACATTCACTTTGTACCTTTAGAAATTAATTGCTGCTAGGCAGGCAGGCAGACGGGCTTTCTACATTTACAGGCCATCTTATGTCCGTCCGTCCGTCCGTGCGTCTCTGTCTGTCTGTCTGTCAGTCTGGCTAGTTAGCTGCTTCGTTAGTACAGCGTGTGTATGACTTACCATTAGCGGCTGACGCCGTTAGCACAAAGGCCAGTACTGCGCCAAACAGCTGGTGTTGTAGTTGCCGTTGCCGTTGTCGTTGTTGCTGATGATGATGTTGTAGTTGTTGTTGTTTTTGTTGTCGTTGCTGGTACATTTTCACTGTCGACTGCACTTTCCTGCCAAAACTAAATATCCAAGCTCAGCTCAGCTCAGCTCTGCGTGTGCGTGACTACGCTTTCGCTCGTTAACAATTGAAATAGTAGTAGAGTAGTGTGTTGTTGTTGTTGCTGTTGATTTTGTTGCTGCTGCTGCGGCTCAACTTCAACACCAGCTATGCGGCAGTTGCAAAGATCACGACACAATGTCTGCGCCTGCGTCTGCTGCCAGACTGCGATGAAATGAAGAAAGTTTTCAGTCAGCCTCTTAACACGCCTCTTTAAGAGAACTGGTGCAAGATTATCGTCGTCGCTTTAAAGCCGTTGCTGCTACCGAAGTCGTCGACGTCGTCGTCGTTGCTGCTCAAATTAACGGTTGTCTTCTTGTGGTCGACGCGCTCATTCGTGCTTGGCCTGGCCCTTTTATGAGTTCATTCGTCCGATTTCGTCCCGCCGCCAGCTTCTGTTTGTTTGTTTGTTTTATTTGACCTCTCAACAATACAACATAATTTCTTTTTTATAGTTAACGCTTCTCGTTACTCTCTTTTCTTATCGTTTCTTATTTTGCACGTTTTGCTTTAATTTGATTTCAATTACGCGTAGCCGCCTTTTGATGTGTGTGTATATATATATGTGTATATATATATTTTTTTTTGTAAATTTTTTTATATTTTTTATTATGCACACAAAAAATCTTTTCACAGTTACTGGACGCGCGCACACACACACACGGACACACAGACGAACTACATACAACTTGTTCAAAAAGTCTGTTGGTTTTGGGGTGTTCTATTCAAGAAAAGCTCTCGAATCGTTATACACTTTGCCGCAACATTTGATTTCGATGCGCGCTCGTTGAGTTTCGCATGCCAAGTGATCGTCGTCGGGGCGTTGAGGATGCTGCGGTTGCGCTGCTACGCTGACGCTCTCGACGATTGCATTATTTAAATGACGGTGCTGCCGTTTTCAATGAATGAACACACATACACACGCATAGGCATAGGCACACACATACACACACATTCACGTATAGTTACAATAATGTGCGCTTTGATTTTTACATTCATGAAATTATACAGTTTTATTGTTGCTGCCTGCCTGCGTCTTCTTTTGTTGCACATTCAACCAACTGCTTCGAATACTCCAATTTCGTTTTGCCTTTGATCCATGGTAAAAAGAAAGAAGGTATCACATTAAAGGCTATACATTTTTTCCTTTCACTGTGCAGGTTCGTTATAGGTGCTTCGCATATGTCACATAGGTACATACATATGTACGAGTGAGTGCGCTCTAAATTTAAATACTCTATGGAAGGGGACACTGGTCCTAGCATTAATTTTTTGGGAAACCACATGGTACTGTCTGAACTAATTGAAAAATCAAACATTTACTTTTATTATACCCTTTACCTTAAGGATATATGTACATACTGGCTTAGCTTATACGTATCTAACACACGGCGGAAGGCATTGAGACCCCCGTGTTTTTGATCAATATTACGAAAGGAACAAACATTATGAATGTTCGGTTTAAATGAGATAAGTGTTCTCCTAAGAAAGTCACAGTACTGGAAACTTTGGCAAGAACATCATATTGTGATGAAAACTTGTGTGTTGAAAACGCACAATATTATTTTTGTAAAGAAAAAGTTACATTTAAAATTTTAGCACATTTTATCTACACAAAATAGGAAAATGTACTCGCACAATATTATAGCTACACTATTGACAACTTGTGACGTCACACGAAGAGAACACCAATTTGCGGACCTGCGCAAAGGCATACAATCAAGCGTCTTTTTACCACGGCTTTTGATCCAATCCACTTCACTCTCTCTCACACACACAGACTATACTCGCACACACACGCGACTGCGACAAAGACTAAGAAGAGAAAGGTTTGACAATGCGCTGCAGAATGACACTCGAATTTGCAATGCCAACAAATTTATATGAGTGAAAGGCAGCGCAGTCGGCGTCGCAGTCGCAGTCCGCCGGTAAAGCTGCGCTATTGTGGTTAAGCCGAGCTTGAGCGCCTCCATATGTACATATGTATGTATGTCTGTATGTGCATGAGTGTGTGTGTGTGTGTGGCGCTATCCAGGCATTGATTAAATGGAGTTGTCGGTATTTAAAATAACAACTTGGTCATGTTGCCTGCTGCCTAATCGGTTTTGGTTTTGCGTACAAATTTAATTTGCCAAAAGTGGAAGAAAATGCAACCAAAAAGGCAAGGCCAGGCGTATTTGAAATTATTATAGGCACATATAGAAAGTGCAGCAGCCGTTGGCTGGAAGCTGTTGTTATAGAGTTGGCAGACTTTTAAAGCCATAAATTTTACGCCTGAGCGGTGTTGCGAATAAGGGTCACACTCATATACCCATACATACAAAGCTCGATGGACAGTCGCGTGCATGAAGAAAATTGACTGGTGCAGCATAGAGGTGGACATGTGCCACACTTTTGTTCAAGAAAAATGGCTTAAAATATCTTATAATTTTTCGAAAAAACGTTCTTATACTTTAAAGCACACTAAGAAAATTATGGAAGTAACTTATTTATAAGCCTAAAAATAAACAATGAAATATATGAGTATTTCTATAGACTTCCCGATTATCTTACTGCTGCAAGTCTTTTCTGGATTTTACTAACAATACATTTTTTCCAACAGTTGAAATCAAATATTAAATTACAATTTCAGTTGATTGTAGATTTTACTTATATTATCAATTTGATTTGAAAAATCCACATATCCGTGTATTCAAAATTTGAATTTGTATAAAGTCTACATACATATATCATGGCCGTTTTGTCGGGTCGAAATAAGCCGATCTATTCTCATCTCTAAATGCAGCAGCAGCCGTCGATCGGCTGTAAAAAAAGAGGTCAGCAAGTGAATGTTTACAGTTAGTTTTTGGGCAGCCAGACATGCACGCGGCAATTGCATATGACAGCCATCGATGATGACGCAGCAGCTGGCTAACAGCGAAGAGAGTGGGCGGGCAGTAGAGCCCAGAACTAATGTTAAAAACAGTTTTAAAATTAATTAAAAGAAAGCCAACAGCGGCAAGAGCCAAGCGTAAAACTAAAACCTTTTGGCAGCTGGCAGTTTCTTTTTGGCTGAGATTTGATATCGTGGTCGTGGTTGCCAATAAAAATGGAAAGTGAAAATTGTAGAGTTGACTTGCAGTGTTTGCTGGTGAATATTAAAAATGAAAAAAAAATAACGTGCGAAAAAAATGTAATAAAACGATAGAAGCAACAACAACAGCAGCAGCATCAGAGGCAACTGTGACGCCTCACGCACTTGTTCTGCAGGTCTTGCGAGTTTTCTTTAATCATCACCTTGGCAACGCATGCAACTCGTTCAGACATAGAAAATGCATGAGTATTATATAAATGTGGTGATAAGACGACACGTTCAATGCTGCTTGGAGAAAAAGCGGAAATTGTATGTTGAATGAAAATAAAACCAAAAGTGGTTGTTATGCATGGCACTTGTGAAAAGCGAAAATAGAGCACACGTAAAGAGTAAAAGTAACATCTATGTATATTTAAGTTAAAAAGCTATTAAATTTTTACAAATTCATCAGACTAGATCAGGTTTATATATCCATTTCCAGCACACATTTAACGGTCTGTGGCAATACTGACGTCACTGCGTTGACATTCGCTCGCTCACGAGCACTTCTAGCCAATGCAACTCTGCCTGGGCAGATAACGTTTTTTAACACTACGGATAGGGTGGCAGCACCGCATTACACACACGCACACACAGACACAATTTGATGGGTATAATTGTTTTTCATTGAAAAGTCTGCGTGCTGTGTGGGAATAAAATCGTGTATATAACTATAGTTTCGAAACGCGCAAATTGCTAAACGCAAAGTGCAATAGTGTATATTTTTTTTCGTTGTGATTTGTGCGCAGTTTTGGGAAACTGCAAATAAGTTAATATACATGTCGTCGTTTTCGAAAGAGTGAAACCTTTAACAAACGTCGTCGTACTCGTACTCCCCAAACTAGCAGCAGCAGTAGCAGCAACAACAACCACACGGTCGTGTGTGTGTTAAGAGAAAAGATGGCGACGAGTCGCACCAGTCGCATACAATCACAACCAAAAATTTTTCCTTCTATATTTTCCAAACTTCATGGAGCCATCTCGGAGGCGTGTGTCTCTCAGCGTCTGTCCACGGACAAGAAAACGCTGGAGAAGACGTGGAAATTAATGGACAAGGTCGTCAAGTTGTGCCAACAGCCGAAAATGAATCTAAAGAACAGTCCCCCCTTCATATTGGACATACTGCCGGACACGTATCAGCGACTGCGTTTGATTTATTCCAAGAACGAGGATCAGATGCATGTCCTGCACGCCAACGAGCATTTCAATGTGTTCATTAATAATTTAATGCGTAAATGCAAGCAGGCCATCAAACTCTTCAAGGAGGGCAAGGAGAAAATGTTTGATGAGAATTCACATTATCGCCGGAATTTAACCAAACTAAGTTTGGTCTTTTCCCACATGCTCAGCGAGTTGAAGGCGATATTTCCAAATGGTGTCTTTGCCGGGGATCAGTTTCGGATTACAAAGGCCGATGCGGCCGATTTTTGGAAGGGTAATTTTGGCAACAGGTAAGCGCATATCGAAAAATCGTATCATATCGCGAACAAGGCATTATTGACCAAGGACTATTTCGTCAACTTCAGTACGCTGGTGCCTTGGAAAATCTTTCGCCAGGAGCTCAATAAAGTGCATCCCATATCGTCGGGGCTGGAGGCCATGGCGCTAAAGACGACTATTGATTTAACGTGCAACGATTATATATCGAATTTCGAATTCGATGTCTTCACCCGTTTGTTCCAGCCATGGGCAACGCTTTTACGCAACTGGCAAATCCTTGCAGTCACACATCCCGGCTATGTGGCATTTCTCACCTACGACGAGGTGAAAGCCCGCTTGCAACGCTATATCCGCAAGGCGGGCAGCTATGTGTTTAGACTGTCCTGCACGCGTCTGGGCCAATGGGCCATTGGTTATGTGACTGCCGATGGCGAGATCTTGCAAACGATACCACAAAATAAGTCGCTGTGTCAGGCGCTGCTTGACGGGCATCGGTGTGTATGAGTTTTAAATTACTGTTGGATTAAATAGGGGATTGCTGCAAAGTCCGGATAGATCTAATCAATTAATTTTGCCAAAAAATTATATCAATTTTTACATATAAATCCGGAAAATTGTGATAATTCCCTTCAATAACCATTTATATTCATCAACATTTACTTGAACTATTTATTGTTTCGACTTTAGCGAGGGCTTCTATTTATATCCCGATGGCCAGGCCTATAATCCCGACCTGTCATCTGCTGTACAAAGTCCTACAGAGGATCACATTACCGTCACACAAGAGCAATACGAATTATACTGTGAAATGGGCAAGTTTAAGCATAAACTTACATTTGCTATTACATTTCTTAATAAGATTTTATTTGGTCTTGTAGGCAGCACATTTCAATTATGCAAAATTTGTGCGGAAAACGACAAGGATATACGCATTGAACCCTGCGGTCATTTACTTTGTACGCCCTGTCTGACCTCCTGGCAGGTGGACTCGGAGGGTCAGGTGAGCTCTTCGAATTTTGGATTGTTTAAGGGAATATTTAAAACACACTTTTATTTATTTCTAATCCATAGGGTTGTCCCTTCTGTCGCGCGGAGATCAAGGGAACCGAACAGATTGTCGTCGATGCATTCGATCCACGCAAGCAACACAATCGCAATACCACCAATGGACGTCAACAGAATCAGGATGATGATGATACAGAGGTATAGTTAGCTAAAGCTGATGCCTGTCGCTGCCGCCTGTGCTGATTGATTCTTAAACCTTATTATGATTTCCGTTTCGTTTTGTATACATATATATATATATATATATATATATATATATATATATATATAGAGAGAGAGAGAAGAGAGAGAATTAGTTATTATTGCTATTGTTTATTCAAGTTGAAATTGTTTAGTGCAGTTTTGTTTCGTTAAGCGCTATCTGCAAAAACAAAACAAAAATTCATTCATTTAAATCATTAGCCAACATACATTCATTCATATTAACGTAACCACAGTCAGTCAGTCAGCCACCCACACACACATATATATATACATACAATATACATTCATTATTCGCGTGCTCAGCGGAAGTCGCCCATCAGCGACTGTGGTTGCAACCCACTCGTATTTCTCTTTTTTCTTCAATTTTAAAATATTAAATTATCGCGCTTGCTGCTTTTGGTTCTGTTTGTGCTGGATTCGTTCAATTTATTTACTCGTTTGCAAAACGTTTTTTTTATGATTTATTTAATAGTAATGTGTGTGTTTATTTTTCATCAAATTAATTTCCCATCAACAATTGGTCTTAATCATATTTCATAAACAAAGCCACAATGATTGAATTTAGAAGAAAGAAGAAACGAAATCACACTCTCTTAAAATGTTATAGCAATTGCACTTCTGTAAATAGGCACTGTGGAATTTATAATATGTATTATATTGTAGTTTAGTTAATCTAGAGCTAGTTTTAAACTAAGCAAAGGCCCCATTTTCAAGCAACCGCATCAGAAATTGCGTTCAAATTATTAATCATAAAATAATATAACAAAACCAATTGCTGATGTCATGTGTAGCGCTATGCAAAGTTTTTTAACGCCATATCATGCGAATTTGTGTGCTTCTTATAATCCGTCTATGTGGCGATGTTGATTCCAATAGCTAGATGTTTCCTTCCTTGCAATTGCATTGCAATTTTTAATCATTTTTATTGCTGTTCTTAGTCCACTCCGTAATTTTTTGATTAATATTTCTATTTTATGAAAGTCTAAAATGCTGCGTAATTAAGTTCTACGTTTTAATATCTGTTAACATTTCAAATAGAATAATACCTCAAAAATACAATGTTAGATCGGGAACACTAGGCGCAGAATTGTACATATAAAGATTATATTGCACACGAAAATTCGAATAATATAATGTTAAAAAATTTGAAATAGAAACTAATCCAGATCTTAAAGTCCCCACAGTATTGTTTCTCTCCGTCTCTATCCCAATAGTTTGCACTTAAGTGCATATTATTAGGTATCGGTCTCGAATACATACTAATGGAAAATGTTTGTAAATCATTATAGTTTTGATAAAATGAGTGAGTGGTATTATACAGTGAAACCTCTCTTGGCCGGAAGTTCAGTTATTATTTTCGAAAAAACTGGTATTTTGTAAGAGAGTTTTTACTGTAAATAGAAAGTTAAATTTTGTTTATAACTTATATTTCATTTCAAGCAAATAGTTTGCACAAAAAAGGGTCATTAAAGAAAAGAGTTTGCATAGAAATATATTAAATTTTACATCTATAGAAAAAAAAAATCTGAAGTCGGAAAGGCAAACAGTTTGTACACAAACTCATAAGTAGAACTTGATAAGTAAGTCCAGTTTCAGTGAAACATCATATAGTCCTGTAAAGATTTGTTCGCTTTTCTGATTTAAATTTCACAAAATCTGATGGGAATACATGCACATCGATTTTGACAAATTTGTTCGAAATCGGAAACGGAAACATACTAGCTTACGTGCAAATTGTTATCCTGTCTGACCATAGCTTAAGAATGCAAACAAATGTTATTTATTATTTTAATTATACAAGTAGAACACAGTGAATCATTTGAAATGTGAACTTGAATCAGCGTTTTATGTTCGAGACCGATGCCCCATATATACATTTCTTCCATATCACATACATATATGTTTTTCATTGCATAGTTTATTTTGTTAATATTTCCAAAGATACATTTAGTTTGTAGTCGTTTTTTGTGCACGATGTCATCCTTGAGATCACACACAAAATGTAATGTCGTTTCATAATTTTGTTTGGCTGCCATTGCGGGTGCGCGGCCTGTGAAGAAGCACCATTTGTTTGGGTGCCTTAAGACTGTAATTTATTATTAACAAAACGAAAAAGAGAAGGCTAACAAATAGGCCTAAAGGCGCATTAGTAACTTGTATACATAAATTAGTATTATTATTTAGTTTAGTTAGTTTGTATGATACTCGTTGACACTTTTTCGTCATAACTTTTTGGGCCAGTTGTTGGGTTGTATTTATGGGCAGAGCCTCTGGCTTTCATTAATTAGTATTACAACAAATGATTTTCGCAATCCCTCAAGAATAACAATAGCTGTATTCTAAAAAAAAATTGTGTGCCAAGTTTCAAAAGAAATTGGAACTGTCTTCAATTCATGAAAACACCCACCATAAAGCTCAGTTGTTAATATCTCGTTTCCTTAACTCTGTAAAGCGACAGATATGAGAGTGCATGTTCTACCTTCTTTCTTATCTATGAATACATACATTTATATTTATACGAATATGTTCTATTTAGTTGTGTTTATTTAATTAATCATAGTGTTAAATATAATGAAAATAAATTGCACATAACTTTAGCATATAAACCAATTATTTATATACATATATAATACAATTTTATACATTTTTAGTGTTTAGCAATTGAAATTCATTTTTGATTTCCTTAATAAGTTATGCTAACTGAAATGAGAACAAACAAACAAACAAAAAATATATATATACATAAATAATTCAATATTAGTTTAAATTGTTTTAATTTATTTGTGTCTGCAGTTTTCGTTCTTTTGGTTGTTCCTTGTTTTGCATGCCTCTCCAATATTCCAGCTTTTGGTTAACTCTTACATTCTAGCGGCAGCTTATATGTAATATGTGTTTGGTTTATTGGCACAAGAAGGTATGTGTGCGAAAACAATGTTCCGACAATTTTCAAAAAGTTCCGTTGCTATATTTTAAAATACATAATTTTTATAGATAAATAACCCCTGTCCTTGTCAAATATTTGAAAGAAAGAGAGAGATACCATTAGCCAGTTCATCCATAATCGTCAAGAGCAAATACTTTGAAACAATTTTCCGTTTCGAAAGATGTTCCTAATTCTCAAGTTCGAATTTCGAATATCCTTTTTCAACTAAAGTCTGCAACATTACTGCTCCTTCAATTCGAGAGCTTGAATCTTCTATACTAATCCCAACTGATTTATTGAATATTGGCTAATTTTTAGTGATCAATACAGTTACGGAATTGTAAGTTTTGAAACTTTGGCAAATGAACCGCTTTAAACCAACGTTCCATTCTGTAGCTTCCGTGCCTTTCTGCAACTCAGTAGAGTCGAGACCTTATTTTAAGAGCCTTGTTTCACATTCCCACGTTTCTTATCTTGTAATAACTACATTATCTCTTTATTTCTTATATTTTTAAAACTTTTCAATGGCTTGGAATTTCCGGTGAACTGTAGGAATTATATTAACGACAGAAACTTCACAGAGCTAGTTTTGATCGCAACCGATATAACATAGATCGAATACGTTTTGATAATAAAACTGTATTCCTGATACCCTATAACGAACTGCTCGTAAAAAGAAAAAATTCTCTAAGCTTACAAAACTCCATATACCCATAGAAGGTCCTAAGATTCTTTAGAAAAATCTATTTTCTCTTCAAAACATTACTTTTAATTCTGATATTTTGAATTTTTTGTTAATCTTAGCGAAATGTTACGCTGCAACAAACTTGTTTTCGGGCACAGCCCTTATGCCTTGCTAATTCACAGCTAGAGTTACACCTAAATTTCGCAACCCCCACAGGATATAGGCGACTTCAACATAGCCACCTCTTCACTGCACGCCCTGAGCACCTCGGCAGCGGCTCAGGCGACGGCCGAGAAGCACAGTCCCCACACTTCGCCACGTTTGGGTCGCCGCAGCACCACACCCAGCCTGATGGCGGTGCAGAATGATCTCTATGCGGGCTGTGTGGGTGGTGTTGGCGGCCTCAGCTTGCCGAGCAGCAGCAGCGCGGTGGCGGTAACGTCCTCCCAGCTGCAACCACAACCCACGGCACCACCAGCGGCAGCGGTGCTGAGCAATGGTGGTGCCTCCACAAGCATAACACAGAAGAGCACGAACCGCATGAGTGCACCGCTCATTGGCTCCTGTGTGGCCAACTCCACATACGGCCAAAAGTTGCCCAGCAAAACAGAGACCAGCTGCGATAATGCCTCCATAAGCTCCTATGCCATACTCCAGAATCTACAGGATGTACAGGCGCAGGGTGGCAGTGTCGCGGTGGCTAGACGCAGCTTGGATGATGCCACAACGTCGTCGTCATCATCATCGTCGAATTCGTCGTCCTCAACATCGGCAACGGCAGTGGTTGGTGCTGGTGCTGGGGCACCACCGTTACCACCACGCAAGAGCTCACCGGGCGTGGAGGCACCCGCCAAGGCTGTGGTGGTTGTTGCCACTGCACCAACAACCACACAACCACCTAGCAGCAGCAAAAGCATTGACAACATTCAGTGCAGTCTGGACAATGTGCCACCACAAACCACAGCACCACCCATACCGCCGCACGTGACGCCCAGCTTCGTGGACACTCTGGCCGATGATTTGATGCGGCAACAGCGCATCGCCACATGCAGCAGTACCACAGCTGTAGCAGCCGCTGGTTCCGGTGGTGCAACAGTGGCCAGCAGCATCACTTCGCCGGTTCTCTCACTGCTCGATGAGGACATTGTGGAGGTGGGACCGGCAGAGACCATCAGTGGGGTGATCGACACGCGTCCCCTCGAGGCACGTGGCACGCTTCCGAAGCTCTGTGCCACGATTGATGCTGACACCGCGCACTACACACAACTCTGCACCACAACGACCAGCGCTGCGGGCCTGGCGGCTGCTGCTGCTGCTGCTGCCGTGACGGTCAACAATGGCTATGTGGCAGCTAATAGTAAGAAAATGTCTCAGCCCCTAAAACCGGCGTCCCAACACCAACAGCAACAACAACAGCACCACCAGCAACCGCCTACCCCCTCCTCAGCCCAGCAGCAGCAACCGCTGCTTTATGCGAACGTGACGATCAATCAAAAAGACTGTGGTACCGTACCGTATGAGAACATTAATCTGGAATATATTGCGCGGCTGATGAATGCGGGATATTCCAAGGAGAACGCCATTACAGCTCTGGGCATCTCGGGCAATAACATTGAAATGGCCGGCGATATATTGCGCGCCTTTGTATCCAATAATAGCGCCTAAGTTTCTAAACTGGCTCGATCGATTGCCCAGTGTGATTTAGCATAGCGGAGAGAGAGATACGAGTACATACAAATTAAAAGAGAGAGAAAAAACGAGCCAGGGAAGTCATTGAGAGCCATTATACAGTGTGATATTTAGGCAATCATGGTAACAAAATATTACTTTACCTTGGTCTAAGCACCATCAATTTCATTCATTCGAATATAGAATTAAGTGCATTCTTAATTTAATTCAATTTTAAAAATTCAATACCCGTATCAGCGCTGCTAATTATGTGTGGATTCAGAAATAATGTCAAGTTCTTCACAAATAGTACAAATAAACGATATCGAGAACCGATCCGTTTCGACAACTTCTTGGCCAGTTCTCTGAGAAAACTACAAAGAACGGCTCACGGATCCACTTCCAACACTTCTTTAGAAAACGCAACATTAGGTTCTTTTTTAAAATGTAATGCACTCCACTTATTAAACGATATCGAAAACTGATCCGAGAAAACGATGAAGAACATCTTTGGAAAAAGTCACTAAGTCGAAATCGGATCCATTTCATGATAATTCAATACAAGATCCGATTTACATATGTTCTCGCTATTAGGCACGAGACTCCCAAAATTTTCTTTCAATATTCCAATATTTCTCTTGTGCCTTTTACCAAAGTCTTTCTTTATATTTCTTCGATTCTTACCTAAAGGTTTAGGTATTCTTGAATGCGGGGAGTAAACACATATTTCTATTTATATCTAATCCACTTTTCTGGACGTTTTACTGTATTAGCAGAACTTGACATTTTTCTTCAAAGAACCCACATTTGAATACGAAATAGAGTACAAATTGTCCAATTGAATCCGTTCCTGAAGTATAGCAGCCCTGATTTAAATACATGTTCTTACCTCTAAAATCATCCATTACAAATTGTTGGAAGGCTTTAAGGTTTCCATTTTACTTGTTCTAACCTTTTAAAAACTATTATTATAAGTATTGGATTCCGTTATTGAAGTAGATTTAGAAATTGTAAAGAAATATTTAGATCGTAAAATATTTAGATTCTCTTTTTCTCATGATAAAGTAATTAGAGCTACAATTTAAAAACTACAAATACAAATTTCAGATTAAAGTTTTTAGACTAAAATTAACAAAAATATTAGATGTTCTAATTAATTTGTTGTTGTTGTTTACTCGACAGCAGATTTTATTCCGATATATTGCCCAAATATCACACTATTATACTTTACTGGTCCAATTTGTTGTTGATTTATGATAATAATATAAAAGATTATATAACAAAAAAATTAAGAATTATGGAAAAACTAAAAACAAATCGTAAGAATAAATAAAAATCGAATTACTCTCGCTTTTGGAGCACACTACTCTTCATATAGTTACGCAAAGCATAGCAGGCAGGCAGCTCATCAACACTTACATAACTTAACACTAAAAAGACCCACACACAACCCTTCCTTACACCCACACCCACAAACCACTTGGCGTAGCCAGCACAAGCAATTAGGCATTCAATTTTGAACCTAGAAGAAAACCAATTCAAAATTTAAGCTAAACGTAAAAACGAAATGTTCGAAAACCTTAAGCACAACCCATTGATATCAAGTATAGAGTTATACATACATACCTAAGTATTTATTAAGACAATGTACTTCTTCCTACTTCGTGTATAAATAAAACAAAAAAGAAAGGAAAAACATAATCGTATATACGCAACTCTAAAGATAAAACTTGCCCACCCCAGACAAAAACAAAAATCTTTTCTCTCTCTCTCTTCGTATATAGAAAAAGAAGCAAAAACTCTAAACTATAAAGATCAGCAAACACAAAAGACATTTAATCAATTGCATAGTTGTAGGCCTTCATAAACCCGCTTTCCCATTTCATTGCAATATTTCATTGGTGCATTGGCAGACAACAGTACATACATACAAGTAGATAGATACACTCAGAAAAATAAAGAGCCAGAAGTCGCCTTTAAAATACAACTACAGGCAACCAGCCCTGCTTTGGGGAACGTTTCTATTTAAAAACCAGGTTTCGTTTTCAAACTTTGAACAGGAAATTAAGAAGGTATTCTTAAAATCTCAGAAAGAAATTGTCTTCTGAAAGTAAATGTATTCTTTTCAAAGTTTTTGTTATATTTTTATAGCCTGTACCCAAAGGGTGAAAGGCTATACTAGTTTTGTGCGCATGTATGTAACACACAGAAGGAGGCGTGGCAGACCCCACAAAGTATATATATTCTTGATCAGGATGAGAAGCCGAGTCGATATAGCCTTGTCCGTCCGTCCGTCTGTCCGTCTGTCTGTCCGTCTGTCCGTATGAACGCAAGGATCTCAGAAAGTATAAGAGCTAGAATAACCAAACTTGGTTTCCATATTCTCCTAAGACCGAGAAAGTACGAGTTTGAGTTTTTTTTCGATGCACCCCCCCACTCCCCCGCAATTCGTGTTTTTTCTTATAAATTCCGTAATTCTCGGAATTTTGAAATCAATTTTGGTAGGTACATCCAGTTAGTACTAATGTGTCCGTGTGCCAAATTTCATCATGATAGGTCAATTCTGAAGAAAGTTATAGCCATAAGTAAAATCGCTGCTCATGCGCTGCCTCTGTCGGCAGCGCTGCCCGCAGCTGTTGTTGTTGTTGCTGCTTTGGTTCAACTTTGTGCTGCATACATACACGCATATAAACACGCATAGGTACGTGATGTAAATGTATGCTGTTAAAACTAAACATAAACATATATTCTAATTTAATTTAATTAATTAATTCATTAATTTTTTTTAATAATTTAATTTTTTTTTAAATTTTTTTTTTTTAATTTTTCTTTTTTTGTGGAGAGTACAGGCTATTTTACTGTCGGGCTTGCTCGACTGTAGCGTTCTATCTTGTTTTAATTTCAAACTTATATAACTGATTTTTTCATTTACTTCCATGACAGTTACACAGTAGAAAGATAATATTTAATGGATTTATTTGGAGACTCATATTATACTGTTTTGTTTTTATATCCTTTACCAAAAAGGTACAAGGGGTTTGTACAAAGTGAAAGGTGTTATAGGCAGAAGAAAGCATTTCCGACCCCGTAAAGCCGACTCGTCTTAGCCATGCCTGTTTGTCTGTCCGTCTCAAAAACTATAGGGGCACCAAATTATAAACGCCATTAAATTCTTGTTTTGATGTCTTAAAATGCCATTTTATGTATATAAATTTTCTATATATTTTTTGATATTTTTTCAATAATAAACAGCTAAATTAAACTCACATACATACTTCTAGTACCTATTCGTATTTATAGAACGCAATGAAGCGAATAATCGACTTGAGGATCATAAAAAAGTTTCAAGGCTAAATTTTGTATCCAAATCGTAGCGATAATTTAGCCCCTAAAAACTAGAACTTTTGCCTTGTATGACTTAAAAATGTATGCCCATTGTTGGTTTTTTAATTTTCTTAAATATTTGTAATAACGACTGTGATTTTTTTAATTAAGAACTTTTTTTAAAATTTGCGTACAATTTAGGGCTGATTACTGATATTATATTTTTCTGAGTGTAGATTCATTTCAATATTCAAAATCATTAAAAAAAAGAACTAAACATCATGACACTCCAGTAAATGGAAAGATTCCATGCTACGTTAAACTTTTTAGACTTTTAAAAATGCCTTCGTGGCTTTATGCAGGCGTTGCATAGCAGCCCTAAGTTTCTGTACAACAACAACAACAACAAGCAAAGCAAAATAGTAATAATGTAATACTTATGTATAACCAAAAAACACCAATCCGATGCACTATCAAATTTACCTCGATTTTTTATACAAAACTCAATGTTTTTTGTAATAGTATTGTAAGTTTATGAAAGTCAAATACCGAACCGAGTACTCGGAAACAAAAACCAAAACAAAAAGGGAGAGATTAAAATATATTCTAAACACGAAACTAATTAAAAGATATAATTCTAAAATGTAACAAAAAACAAAACAAAATCAACAATACCCTTTGTATTACCCTTTTTACAGCCTTTATATTTGAACGGAATCGGTTTTAATTCATCGACAAAAGCAAACAATTAAAGATTCTAACCCCACACGCAATTTTGACATACATATGTATATCTAACTGTATAAGTACTCGTATATATAAATCTATATATATATATACCTATATAGGCGGTATAATCATACGAAACGAAAGCAAAAACCACAAAGAATCAATGCAATATTCACTAAAAACGCAAGCGTAGGTAACGTATTTATTTACATAAACTTAAAAGTAAAAAAAAAAACACACACACACATTTGATGCAATTGTATTAAAACTCGATTTTTAAGTCAAACTAAAACTTAAATCAACTTTTATGCTAAAAATAATGAGCCGTACATAGCAATAGTACGATGAAGTCAATAATGAGCGTAGAAAGAGGAGGAGGAAAAAAAACAATACATATTTCCATAGTCACGATCATGTAACCGGAACTTTAAGCAGATATAAATTATTCTTATAAATAAAAATATAAAAACAAAAACAAAACAAAACTTAGTGTGTAGAGTTCACTTAGAGAGAATCGGAAAGTTTTCATTGAAACCATCAATTTAGGAATGCAAATTAATAAAAAGTTAACAATCATAGTGTCGCCATAGATGGAGCAAGTCCAACAGTTTCGACACATCTGATGGAAGCTATAAGAATGCGTCATCTGGATACTGGAATATTCCACTCCATTCCATAATAATAAATTTCTGGATCGGAAACATTCTTTCACTTTTCCGTTAAGGTTTGTTTCGGGCCATTATCTTGACGTCAGTTAATCTTACAGAAAGAATTTCGAAAAAAGTACCCTTGTTCGGCCAATCAAATGTTTCTCCACCGTTCTCCAAAACATATGTTGATTTAAAACGATTATGCGCGCACCCACTTTGATTGAGTATCGGAATTATATCTATATATATAAAACTCATAGTTTTAGTTTTAATGAAATATTTATTTTTTGTTATTATTTGACTTATATAGGTTTTAGTTTGCAATTGTTTCGTATTCAAGCACATATGTATTTTTGTTTTGTATGGTTTTTGTTGCTTTTTTTTTGTAGTTTTTCAATTTTTTTGTTTGTATTTTATAATAATGCTGTGCTGTTGCATTATATAATGCCTACGAGCGGCCATTAAACCAACTGCCTTCGCCTGCATTTTTCATATTTTATATATATATATATATATATGTATATATATACTATATATGTATTATCGTTACAATATTAAAGTTACTATGTGTTGCTTCTGTTGTTTTTGTTGCTTACTGTGTGTGTGTGTATGTGGGTGTCTGTGTGAGTGTGTGTTGCTATTGTTGTTGTATACAACATGGCTATAATATAGGACGTACTGATCCCAAATTTGTTGTTAGCTTTATAAATGTTTCTTGTTTAGTAATTGAAATTCATAATTTTCACAATATTTGCTCTTTGTTTCTGCATTCTCCTTAATAATAAACTTATATTTTGTTTTTTAAATATATACGCTAGGTTGCAAAGTTAATGAGCACTTTTCTAAAAATATTTGTAAATATGAATGTGCAAAAGCGCAATAATTGTGTGCGTTTAAAAGTTGAATTTGAAACCTAAATGTAACAAAAACAAAAAAATTCACAATAATTGGATGACTAGGAGCCGAGTTACAAGAGAGTGATCCGATTGATCATGAAAGTGCGTTCCCACTTAGGTGACAAATACAACTTTCGATTGCACATTTTTGCCAATAGATGGCGCCTTTACAAATTAATATTAATTTGATTTATTTTGTAGAGTGCTGCTGACTTTGGAACAGACCGCATATATTTTTGTATACATTCTTTTTTGTTTGTTTCTTGTTCTCATCATAATATTTAAAAATACATTTTTAAAAATTTTGTATTTATTTTTACTTGAATTTTCATTAAATGGTTTCAACATATTTGGCGCAGCAAATTTTATTTGCCCTTTCATCAACACAACGTTTTGCGTGTTAGTTTTACTTTAATCTTATTATATATGTGTTTTTCCATTTTCATTCTTCCGTAATGTTTTTAAATAAATATGTTTGTATAGGTATATGCTTATGTATGCATGTATGTATATATGTAATAAATTAATGCAACCTTTTGAATGCAAAAAATTCGTAAAACAATATACCGTCCGTCGTTTGTTCAGCAAATTGTACATAAGAAATCAAAAGTTGAAAAAACAAAATTATACAAAATTAGACTTTTAGTTTTTCTTTTTTTTTTTTTTTTTGTGTATAAATACTTTCTTTTTTCATTGCATTTGCTTCATTTCTGGGTTGTTTGCTTGTTTGCATGTACTTGTATATAATTAATCAATAAATATATATATATTTATATGTATAATAATGTATATATGTTAACAGTTAAGATTGAAAGCAGTGAGAACAGTTACGAGAATAATAGAAGAGTATAAGAATAATTAGAAACTACAATCTAGAGCATTAACCAATCATATGCAGCATATGGTCTTCATTTTATTTTGTAACATATACATGGGGAATATTATATATGTACTGATGCATATATTATATATGTTAAATATGCACAGGCATATGATTTCGTTGCGATCCCTTTGTTGTTTTATTTTTATAAACTTTAAAGTAAAGCGAACTAGTCGAAAATAGTATACACACGTTGTTTGCTTGCTTGTTTGATGCTTCACACAGTTTTACTTTTACTTTCTTTCTTTCTTTTCTGCCAGCGTACTTCAACTTTAAAACATCACTACAATTTTTTATCTCTGATCTCTGCTAAATAATTTTACAAATTATACAATATTCGTACGCCTATATTGTTGTATTCAGACACGAAGAAAAGTTGGGAGTTGGTGTTTAGTATTGTTTCTATAAATATATGCCATATGCTTTGCTTGGTATCTGGTATCAATATTATTATTATTATCGTTTCCAATAGTTTCTTCCTAGGATAATATTTATAATATTTGTAAATGTTTAATGGTTATAGCGACAAGTTCACGTAGTTGGTTGGTTGGTTGCTTGCTTGCTTGGTTGGTTTTGCTTGGTTGGTTGCTTGTTGTTTGTGTTTTATGTTTTTAAGCCTTGTTAGTTGCGCATGCATGTATATTTTAGATTTAAATATTTAAATGTTCAAGCGTACAAGAATATATAGTTGTTGTTAGCATATGATGTCTTTGATTTGCCTTTACTAGCTGGCTCCAAACAAATTATTCCACCAAAGCGCCTGTAATAATAAGCATAAAATTATATTAATTTATTAAAACTGGGTATTATACTGGACTTACCTGGAATGCGTGGGTGGCGCGCCAAAGCAGAGAAGCCCTTGGCCTGCGGTCCTTTGGGCGCGCGTATGAGTATCAGCCGTGGCACAGTGTCATCGCCATTGAGTTTTAGGCGCGAGATCAAACGATCGGGTCGATCGTTAATTTTCAAAACATTACAAGCCGAAGATTTGCCATTACGCTGAATAAAGAGGATTATCCAGACGTGAATAATGATTTCAAAAGTCGAAATGATTAGATTATTATTTATGTCTTAGCACTAACTATCTCGAACCACATCTACGATTTAATTTAACCTATAAATATTTTCTTTTTCTAGATATATAAAGTTGAAAAAACCAAGATATAACGAAAATGGAATGCCAACAAAAAACAAAAAAAACTGTTTTTTTTTATAATTTAATAATTAATTTACTTCTTTGGGTACAGGGTATTTTCTTTATTCTTAATTGCGATTTTCCTGAATGAATTACCTGATTGGTCACCACGGAGAATTCGACAGTATCGCCAGGATGCAATGCAACCGTATTGCCCTGAACTTCAGACATATGAAAGAAAAGTTTCTTGCCATCCTCCACCTCGAAATTGAGAAAACCAAACTGGCCCTTGATCGAATCAACTGTGGCGCGCTTCTTTTGACGCACGGCATTCACATCCGCTGCCCGACCGCTCTCATCAATGCGGAAACTGACCAGATCACCCTTTTGCAAGAGATCGCGCTTGTTAACCAAGCTAGTGATGCCAAACTCATGTTGCGATATAATCGTTGTGCGTTGCGAATCGTGTATTTCGATTAGTCCAGCATATTCCTGCTGATCGGGATTGATGCAACGTAATGGACGTGCCACTACGCCATTGTGTAGAGTCTCCAAGACAGCCGGTTGTGGTATGGAGTTCTTGGGCAACGTGCGCACGTTCTCCGCTGGCAGACAATTGCCCGAAACGGAGGTATTGCCATTGGGCGCCAGCGTGTATTCAACCTCTTGTCCCAACTCCAACCAATGGGGATTGCCCTGATAGTTGCTGAAGTGAAAGAAGACCTCCTCATCGTGGGAGAGCGTCTCAATGAAGCCAAAATTCTCTTTAATCACAGCTATGAAGCCGCGATATACTTGAACAGCCTCGCTGCTAGCATGGTTATTGTTCTCCAGCTTAAAATCTTCGATATGTGGAGTGCAAACGGTCTGGGTGGCATTGCTGCCCACACTGCTGGTGCTGCCGCCGGGGCTGCCATGCATAATGTATCCATTCTGCAGCGAAGTATTGGAGCTGCTGCTGCTGATGCCATTCGAGAGCAGCAATTGATCGTTTTGATTCAGATTGACAGGCAATTGCTGCTGCTGTTGTTGTTGTTGTTGCTGCTGCTGTTGTTGTTGTTGTTGCTGCTGCTGTTGTTGTTGCTGCTGCTGCGTGGCTGCTTGCTGAGCAGACAAGAGTTGTTGCTGTGCCTGCTGCTGTTGCAGGGATATCTGCTGCACATTGACGGCAATAAATTCCTTATTACGTTTCACCTGTAGCAGCATATGATACACTCAGTTGATATACGATTTTGAAGAATTCTTTTTTTTTAAAAACTTACCATGTAGATATCGAAGCGTACACGGTCGCCAATCCTTGGTGGTTTTTCGCAGTCTTTGAGAAAATACATTATAGTCTTTTTAACGTCGCCGTGTTCATAGGTAATTACGCCGCCTTCGACGCGATCTTGTGATTTAACTGGACTTTTTGGTGCCTCGCGTGTCACGCAACCTAAAAAAATATTGTTTGATTGAATGAATAAGTCCAACTCTTGTTTACACTGTAAATCCCACTCTCTCTCTTCCCGTGACTCTTTCAAGTTAAATAAACTGCTTATGCCAGTATAGTGAGTTACATTGGCATGGCTAAGATAACTCTAATGTCAAGCTAGTTGTCCCTAGCTATTATGGTTCAAAAGGTCTATATCGCTTAGGACCCTTATTAGACTTACCCTCAATGTTGCTTGCCATTAACGTTTCGAATTGCACAGAGTTCGGTGGCAAGTGTTTAATGCGTATGGCCTGCAAACGCGAATTATTATAGGCCAATCCGGGCTCCTGAATAACGGTAAACTCCACCTCATCGTTAACTTCAATTTCGCGACTCTGCAAGCGAATATTTTATCAATCTATATGGTAAGTAAGTATCGTATATTTATATTTACCGTGTCCAATATCTCAGTATAATGGAAAAACAAACGCACTGCACGGTCCACACAGCGCAAAAAGCCAAATCCGTCCTTCAGCGAAGCTATAGCGCCCTGTTCCCGTTTCTCTCCGGACACCTTGAATGTCTCATCCAACAGGGCAATTGATGTAGCACGCTGCAATTGATCCCGTCGATCGGTAGCCAACAAGAACTGCACCCAATCGCCATGACGCAAAGTGAAATCACCCTTCTGATCCTTATCGCCGAACGGTACCTCCACCTCGGAATAGTCCAGAGCACGATAACGAATACGTCCGGGCAATGGGTCGGTGTTCTGACGCACAGGATTGTTGCGATCAAGGGGCTTCAGTACTTGCCCCTTATAGATGGTGCTATCAACATCCTCGAAGATTACAGAGCCAGGTGCCAGACGAGTGATGTTGCAGGCAAATTCGCGGCCCTGCGGCGGCACCGAGGCAGACTGTTTTTTAGAGGTATATACGTGAGCTTGGCCGCTAGGCCTCGTTTCTACTTACGCTACGGGTTTGTATGGTGAATTCGACATCGTCGCCAGGACGCAGCTCCACATTCCCTTCAGCCTCCGAGAAATGAAAGAAAATCTCCTTCACCACATCGGCACGCTCTATAAAACCAAAGGACTCCTTCATGGAGCAGACCACACCGCGATACTTCACAGGCTGCGACGGATTCTCAAGACGAATATGGCAGGCGCCTAAGTTTCCTCTATAAAATGTCAAAAAAAAAGAAAGAAGTAAAACAACGTTTTACTTGCTTTTACTTTAAGTCTAAGAAAAGTAATATTCCTTTGGTTTCAGTTCCTCTAAATTGCAGATGAGTCCGCAGATTTTGTAATTGCTTTTCGCTGCTCTACAAGTCAAACTTGTTATAAGCAGAAACAGTTGACAGATAAGGAACAGAATGCTGATGAAGGCCAAATTGTTACTATAAAGTGGAACTGGAGCGTAAATCAACGGACAAACAGAAAGAAAATCTGCGCAAAGATCTGTCTAAATTAATAAAAACTAGTATGTCATGAAATTAAAATCGGTTTTATGTAATATTCCGATGCAGATTCTCTGTCATTTTGGCATTAGATTAAAGATTATAAAAGCAAAAATCATCCAGAAAAAAGTTGCCCACAAATTATCTACAAGTACTATATCCTGACATACTTCAATCAAAGGCAATAAAAGTTCGAGTAAGAAACAATAATTGGATCGCTTGTAAGTTTGCACGAACTTTTATGTAAATTATTGGCTTGTTTGACCCCAACTTGATTACAAAATATACAGATTGCATAATTAAGGTTTAAGATGTGAAGTTAAGTTTTTACAAGGTTGAACCTTAGTATTTCTTAATTATACTGAGTTTCGGTGAATCGGTATTATTTCTGAAATAAGGTAGTATCAATTATATATAGAATTTATGTATACCTTTGGTTCGTTGCAATTTGAAAGCTCACTTTATCGCCAGCACGTAAATTGACATTGCCCTCGACATCGTCTTTGGTATAAGGTAGAAAGAAACATTCGCCGCGATTCTCATAGCTAATGCGACCCGTGGTCTCGCTGGAGGAGAGCACATTGTTGGCGCTATCGGTGCGCAGTTCGGTGGTCACCGTACCAGTGACCCGTTCCTCGGACAGTACAACCTCGGGCGCAATTTTGGAAACTTGACTAGCAATGGGCTTGCCGGTGCGGCGATCGTAGGTCATCTCAAATTCAACAGGATCGCCGATTTTCAAATGATCGATATTGCCACTGAATTGCGAGAAATGAAAGAAGAGGCGGGCCTGACGCTCGCAGCATTGTATGAAGCCATAGGAATGCTAAGCGGAATAAAAGTAGAATATAGGTATTGGGATGTAAAAAATAAGTAGAGGTTTAGCTTTACCAAAAGCTTTTCAATGATCCCGGTCTCGCGTGTTGCCTGACTTGGATCGGCTGCGGCAGCCGAAGAATTGCTCGATTGCGAACCAAAAATGGACGAAGAACTGCCAGCTCCATTGCTCAGCACGCTATTAGATTGAAATACGCCAATGGGAGCTGGATTCTGAATCACATCGTTTACATCGTTGACGTCGAACATGCCAATGCTGGAATGTTGTTGCTGCTGCTGATGATGATGCTGCTGCTGCTGTTGCATATGTTGCTGATGATGATGCATGCTGGGCGGTTGTTGCTGCTGTGAGGGCGGCTGACCCATCTGCGCCAACTGCACAGACGATGGTGTTGGCGGTCCCTGCCCTTGCGGCTGTAGACCCAACGTGGAGTCGACCGTAAAAGTTCCGATTTGGGGAAAAGTTGTTGGTATGCCCAAATTTCGAATAGCATTCATGTTGAAAAAACTATCGCACTGCATGTTATCGTAGATTTCTGCAAAATATAAGAAGAATAGCTTATTAGTCCATAAATGTCAATACCAAAATTTTGTTTAATTTATAGATTCCTTTAGAATTCCATATATGAAGATGCTATTTACGTAGATCTAACACGTCCAATTATTATTAAAACCGCCATAAATTTTTAGTTTATGTAGGGACGTTGAAAAATTCCATATATGAAGATGCTATTTATGTGGATCTAACTCGTCCAATTATTTTTATAAATCCAATAAATATTTAGTTTATGCAGTGACGGTGAAAGAGGCACCAGAAAGAAAGGTGGGTTGCAAAAAAATGAAGAGTATATCGGCTCATTAAGTATATCAAGATAAGGCGATTTTAGCATTATAAGAGTAGAATAGAAAACTCTTAGATTAGACAACTGCAAAAATCTGAGAGCCCAAGTTAACCGTCTTAGGTTTTGTTTCAATTAGGATTATATCTAAGTAAAAGGTTGAAATCATTATGGAATACTTTATGTACATGTTAGGGACGTATCGCTATTATAAATATTGCGACTGTATTTACCTTCGCCAGTGCGATATCCTTTGGATTGCGTATTCATGTTGGCTGAAGAAAAATGTTGATAAGGACTAGCAAAACGAGTCTGGTTGCTTAATTGGATAATGTTGCTGCGCCTTTTGCTGTTGTAGTTGTTGTTGTTGATGTAGCTACTGCTTGGTATGGCAAGACGACGAAGGAGACGAGAAGGACAGACGACGGCGAAGAATAGTATGGGGTTTGTTGAAGAGAGCGAGAGCAAGCGCGTTTAGCACGAGTCAAAAATTGACCGGCAACTTTTTAATGTATTTTTTTTCTTTTATTTTTTTTAAATTTATTTTTTCTCTTTTTTTGTATTTTTATTTTATATCAAAAAGAAAAAACTAAGCAATAAATACGTATATGTTTGTGTATATATATTTTGGCTAAACACTGGCACAAGAGGCACTGAAATTCCTTGTCTTCGAAGTTAATAAAAATTTGTTGTTGCTTGTCACTTTTTTTTCAATTGTTGTTTTTGGTTGTCTTTTTGTTTTCTTTTTGAAGGGCAACAGCACCCACAAATGTCTGTGGGGGTATAGTAAAAAATGCCGACAAATTTTGTAACGTTTTATGTTGTTGTTCTTGTTGAAGATGTTGCTTGATAGTTGTTGCTAAAGTTGAAGTTGCTGCTCCGTGTTTAACAAAATATTGTGTTGAAAAAATGCATAAGCTGCTGCCTGCTGTTATTACTTATGATGTTGTTGCATTTGTTTGTTCCATTTGCAAAATGTGGCTTTAGTTATTGAAATGTTGCAATTTTTAAATTACTTTTATATTTTTTTTTACTAGAAAAATACACTGGGCTTTACGGAATACTTTTATTTTTGGGGCTAAATTAGAGCTTTGTTGTTTGATATAGGTTTTTTTTTGAATATTTTTATGTCGTTTTAGTTATTTGATTTATAATTGGGAAGTGGGTATATGTTTTTTGTTCTTTTTGTTTTTATATATAATATATATATATTTTGTAGGCAATCGTTGTGGTTTTAGGAAGTAGTAGTGATTTATATTATTTTTTAACTTTTATGTATTACTTTGTTGTTTGGTACACACTAAGCTTTGAGTACCGTTGCAGCTTTGCCGCTTACCTGCCTGCCAGCTAGGGCTGCACAACGAGTGCTACTGTCGATCTCACTGCCTCACTCTGCTGTCGTCTCTGTCGCAGCTGGTGCATCGAAGTTTTCGCTGTACGTTGCTATTACTTTTCGGTTACAGTTATTTTGTATTTTGTTTATTGCTGTTTCGTTTACTATGTATTCACTATTCAAGTTCTTTATTTATAGTTTTATTATATGTATATATATATTTATATATATATATATAGATACTCTTTACGGTTTTTCTCATTTACTATGTTGAACTTTAAGCCTAAGTTTTGTTTCTTTTTTTTTTAATATATGTAGTTTTATTTTATTTTTTGAATGCGTTTAAGTCTTCTTTATAACCTAAGGTTTTTATTTTGCTTTTTGTTGGTTTGTTGTTGTTGTTTAACTTATGGGCTTTTTTCTTTTGTTTTTTTCTTACTACATTAAGCTTACTTAAATGTTTATATAATATAATATAATATACTATAGTATATGTATCGAAGTCCTTTAAGATATCACGAATTTGTTTCAATGTTTTTATCTTTTAATTTGCATTTGCTCTTAAGTGTAAAATTGTTGTTTAAGATGTTCGTTTTTTCTTTTCTTGCTTACTATTGTTAAAAATTACAGTTGTTTTCAGTGTTCCTTCTTGTGGTTGTTATGAATTCATTAGAGATTTTTTTTTCGTTTTCTGTTTTTGTTTTTAAATTTAAATTTATAAATTTACAGTAATTATCACAGAGTTGTTAAATCTTTCTTTGAATTTGTTTTTACTTTCTTTTGTTGCAGTTGCTTTTTTAAACGTTATCCATTTAGACTTTTAACATTTCTCACTAGGTACACTTATAAAAAAAGGAAACTATTTAAAAAAAATGTCGTTTTTTCTTAAAAATAAAAGAAAAATTGTTGCTGGCACAAGGCCGCAGTTTACTGTTTCTTTTTGTTGTAGTTTTTGCTTAGAGTTACTCTGGGCTTAATTTCACTTATTTACAATTTTGTTTTTTATTGGCTAAGTTAAGTTACAGTTGCAGTTATTCTTGTTTAAAATGTTATGTTTTTAATTGTTATATTTTTGTGTATTTTCAGTTGTTTATGTTTCACTTGCTAGGTGTTCTTCGCATTGTGTGGTTTTGTAAAAGTGACTTAAAATTAATAGAATTCTTGTATATTTTTGGTTTTAAATGTTTTTTCTTTATTGTTACCGTTAAGAGTTGTTGTTGTTTTTTTTGTTTGTTGCTTTTCACACTATTGCGGCACAATTGTTGCTTTATCGTTTTGGTTATGTACGCACTCATTCAAGCACGCACGCACGCGCACGTTCGCTCACGCGCTCAGTACTCGCTTTTCAGACACTCTCATACACAGTTCCGTTACTTTAGGCGATGCTTTCACGCGCCACCTGCAGTCGAGATGGCGTTAAAGTTTGCTTTTTGGCTTATAAACTAATGTTTTTTCTCTTTTTTTTTTGTTTTGTTTGTATGTTGTTTAGATAAATAATTTAAATTGATGTTGCGTTTAAATTAATAAGTTTTAAATTATTTTTCTTGTTTGTTTTACTCCCGGTTATTTTGTACTTTAAAACTTTTATTCAGTTGTTTGTTGGTTGTTGTTGGTGTTGCTGCTGCTGTTTGTGTTGCTCCTCGCTAGCTTCCTTGCTGTTTTTGTTGTTGTGTTTTTTGTTTTGTTTTGTAGTAGAGGCGGCCTTTTTTGTTTCTAGTCTTAATTTAAATTAATAGCAAATTTAATTCACTTTGACTTATGAACAAAAATTCGTAATTAAATTAAAGCTTTCAGGAAAAATAATGAGGAATTTTGGGATTGTTTGTTTTTAGTATTGTGTTTTGCTTCTTTATTTTGCCTGTTGTTGATTTGAAGTTTTATTTTTGTTGTTTTTATTATTCGAGTCCCAGTAACGACGACGTTAACGCATCAGCGTCAGCGCTGCTGCTGATGTTGTTCCGTTAGTTTCTCTCAGTGCGTGCTTTTGTGTGTGTGTTCCGTTGCTTTTGGGGTGTTTAAAGCATTGTATGTATGTATGTATATGTGTTTTAAACTCCGTTTTACTTCAGTTGTATTTCCTTTGTAGCTATGTTGTTGTTGTTGTTTGAGTATTGACGAGTTAATTTCACAGCGTTTCAATGTATTTGAATTTTTGTTTGGTTTTTGTTGTAGGTTTTGAAAGTCTTTCGTCGTTCAAGCTTGGCTTGTAACTTTTGCACAAATGCGCATTTGCTCCGTTTCTATCTCTGTCGCTCTCTGTCTAACCCCTACGCCCACACACACACGTAAACCGTGGTGCAGCGACCACGCTTGTTATTGTTGTAGCTGTTGTTATTTTGCTACGCGTACGTTCTAGGCTGTTATGTTTGATTTTGACAATACACTAGGTAACATGAGCTAGCTTTTTAGAAACAATTTGCGAACAGAAAAAAAGAGAGTTTGAAACTAAAAGTTTTATGGCAGAATGCGTTGCCTCTCCGGTTAAAACGCCTCGTAGATTTTTTGAGCTTTGTTGTAGTTGTTGTTTTTGTAGGTATTTTTTTACATGTACACTTTAGTTAGATGATTTAAAGATTATTATATATTTTTGATTTGTTTTCGATGGTGTTTTTTTTTTTTGTTTGTAGTATTATTATTATTTTTATTCAGATTATGATGAAAGTGATGTCAAAACGGAGTTTTAGTTACAAAAGCTGCAAATATAAGAAAGTTGGTGCTTAAATTAGATACTATTGCAATAATACAACTCCCCTTCTCCAGAAATCCACTTGGTGGTAGCCTAAGTGAAATCTACACCACCCATTAGACTGGGTACACTACTCAACACCGCTTAAAGTTGTTTTTGTTGCTGCTGCATTTTTATTGATTTTTCAGTGTTGCAAACCGCACCTCCTGTACAATTTGCGCACACACACACACACACAGGCATACATATATTCACTGACACGCATACAGCAGCTGCATTGAATTTGTACAATTATACGAGCGATACAGTTGCTTTCGTTGCCGGAAAAATTCGCACACACACACGCATGGGAGATTCGAAAACCATTTGTAAACTATTTTTACAGTTTTCGTAGATTTTGTGTAAATAAAGCACCACGTACACACACATAAATATGTATATATACGCAGTGCCAAGTTGGTAGCAAAACGTTTTCTTCTATTTTTTTTTCTGAAACGTCGGGCCGCAAATTTTGTACCCTGACAGACACAGTCACTCACACAAACACAGCCACTCACACAGACACAGCGAATTTGGCCAGGCACAGTGAAAACGTTTTTTATGCGGTAAAACGCATATTCACGAATCGAATTTCATTATTAATCAAAAAAGGATGGACTGGAACACATTTTGTGCATATTTGTATTAAGAATTTGTGTTAATTTATACCCCAATTTGAACAAATGAAAATTTTCACGACCAGCCATACGTACCACACGACACAGCACAACGCCGACAACACTTTTCAGTGTTGCATAACGTAATAAGCTTAAATGGGAAGTGAAATCGCTGCATAATTAAACAATGCACTTCAATCATTATCTGAGCATAATTAATTCAATTATAAAACGCATTTAAAAAAATTAATTTGAAAAACAATGCCGGCGTGGATACCAGAATGCGTGCAGCACTGCAACACTGGGCTTTCAGCCCTGGTAACAGACACTGCGTCTTAAAGGCAACTCTGTGCCTGCACATTTAGCCGAAAATCGAAATTTCACAATCGCGGACCCCAAGTTCGTAATAAATAAAAGAGTTTTTTCTATATTTTTATTAAAAAAAAACCGAACGACGTCCTACTACATGAGTCGGCCGATTTCAGTAGTTCGAGAAAACCCAGTAGCTTATACAAAATTGACATAGCAATAAGTATCATTAGCTAGCAGAGGCAAACCAAGTGCAAGAACAGCGCCTCGTCGTTAAATAACCTAAAGAGAAAAGTCTCCGCCGCACCTCCGCCCGCAGCCCACAAGAGAAAAAAGAAAACATAGGCAACGCGCACAGGCAACAGACTTGAAGAAAACACGTACACGATGGCTTTCCGGCTAATGAGTACGGCAAAAGCGATGAGTGGCTTGATGAGACGCACCTACATGAGCGGCCCGTTGGGAAAACCGGTAAGGAGGGCGCCAATAATGTTTAGCAATATTTGGGAAAAGTTATGAAATTATTGGTTATTTAACAGGTGTATCGCGGAGCTAGCGTCCAATCACTTGCAGTTGAAATCCCGCCCCTGCTACGCTACATTGTGGAACAGTTTCAGTTGTTCTGCAAAAAGCCGCCAAAGGGTTTCGAAAAGTACTTCGAGGCTGGAGGAAAATCGGCGACGCCCAAAGGCGCAGCGGCCGAGTCAAAACCTACACCATCCAATGGGGCCGGTAGCAAATCGGCTCCCGGCAGCACAAGTAGTAAATCTTCCCCGCCCAAGTCCAAGACCAGCTCGGCAGCCGAAAACAAATCGGATTGGAATTTCGGCATGTTCAGCAATAGTACAAGACCCGGCGCCGGTCGGGGCACAGGTCCACCAGGTCGACCCATTGGCGAGGGAAGTGGTGGTGATCGAGAGAGGTGGATTCTATTGGGCGCCATTGGCGCTGTGGTGCTGGTTGGTTCGTTTGCCTTCTTCGAAATGGGCTACAAGGAGATCTCATGGAAGGAGTTCGTCAACAGGTGTGAGCCGAGCGCTGCTTTATTGAGTCACGATTTCATAAATGCCACAGAATATATTATGTAATCGCCTAACATCGCATTTTGTTTGCTCTTTCTATTTTCGTTCCATTTACCCTCGCATTGCTGTGCAGCTATCTGACCAAAGGTATCGTGGAGAAGCTGGAAGTGGTTAACAAAAAGTGGGTCCGTGTTCGTCTGCTGCCCAGCAGCGGACAAGGCAGTGGCGTCCTGTGGTTCAATATTGGCAGCGTGGACTCGTTCGAGCGCAATTTGGAGACGGCACAAACAGAATTGGGAACAGAGTCTATCAACTTTGTGCCCGTCATCTATCGGAATGAGGTAGAGGCTTCCAGTCTGACGGGCCTACTTCCAACGCTCCTGATCATCGGCTTTCTCGTCTATATGATGAGAAAATCTGCGGATATGATGGGCGCTGGACGTGGACGCAAGGGTGGCGGTCTATTTGGCGGTGTCATGCAGTCCACAGCGAAGCTAATCAATCCCACGGAAATTGGCGTGGGCTTCAAGTGAGTAAAAGCATGATATTTAGTAACTTATGTAATCAATACGAAATGGAGCCGAAGATCGTCAGAGTAGTCTGAATCCTATTCTTAGGTTTAGTTCCGGTTAGTTTTGAATTGAAATATAAATATTCGAGTGATTCTTTATTTTGGAAATGGCATTTTAATTAGACAGGTACTCTTATAATAAAGTAAAGGATTCCTTAAAGCATAGAATTTGAACAAGGCATTCGAGTTTTAAAATCATCATTATTTAGTAGTTTCTTTAACTGTTAACCATTTTTTTTAACATTCTGTTGAATAAAGCTTCTTAGCTTGAACGACGGCAACCATTTAAAGGAGTAGAAAAACTATTAGTACACTCTCAATATTAAAAAAAATAAATATTAGTCGTTGGGATTCTTCATTAGGTTCGGGCTAAGCCTCCATTTAAATATAAAAAATTTTTTAGTTATTTGGTTTTTAGAGTTGGGAAAATTTTTAATGTGTTTGACGATTTCTTATATTGTATTAAAATATTTGGTTTAGGATAATACAATGAAGGACTGTGGATTGAGAAGAAAAATTATATGTTTTAAGAAGAAATTCGGATTGGCTTTAAATGTTAAATTTTAGGTTTATCAAAAATAAAATTATTTTAATACCAGATTGATTTCATGTTCTCTTGCAGAGATGTTGCCGGCTGCGAGGAGGCTAAAATCGAGATCATGGAGTTTGTCAACTTTTTGAAGAATCCACAACAATACATTGATTTGGGCGCCAAAATACCGAAGGGCGCTATGTTGACTGGTCCGCCGGGCACTGGCAAAACGCTGCTGGCCAAGGCAACGGCAGGCGAAGCTAATGTGCCTTTCATAACCGTTTCGGGTTCCGAGTTCCTGGAGATGTTTGTGGGCGTGGGACCGTCGCGTGTGCGTGATATGTTCGCCATGGCACGAAAACATGCGCCCTGCATTCTGTTTATCGATGAGATCGATGCTGTGGGCAGGAAGCGTGGCGGCAAAACCTTTGGCGGTCACTCGGAGCAGGAGAACACACTGAATCAGTTACTAGTCGAAATGGATGGCTTTAATACGACAACGAATGTGGTGGTGCTGGCGGCCACAAATCGTGTGGATATATTGGATAAGGCGCTGATGCGACCGGGTCGCTTCGATCGTCAAATTTACGTGCCTGCACCGGACATTAAAGGACGTGCGAGCATTTTCAAAGTGCACTTGGGATCGCTGAAAACGGATCTGGATAAGAACGATTTGTCTCGCAAAATGGCGGCCCTAACACCCGGCTTTACAGGAGCCGATATAGCCAATGTGTGCAATGAGGCCGCCCTTATTGCCGCTCGTGATTCCAAGGACTCGATTGTGCTGAAACATTTCGAGCAAGCCATTGAGCGTGTGATTGCGGGCATGGAGAAGAAGACAAATGTGCTGGCGCCCGAAGAGAAACGCACTGTGGCTCATCATGAGGCTGGCCATGCCGTGGCTGGCTGGTTTCTGGAACATGCCGATCCACTGCTCAAGGTTTCCATCATACCACGCGGCAAGGGCTTGGGCTATGCACAATATCTGCCCAAGGACCACTATCTGCTCTCCAAGGAGCAACTATTCGATCGCATGTGCATGACTTTGGGCGGTCGTGTAGCCGAAGAGCTGTTCTTCAACCGCATCACGACCGGCGCCCAGGATGATCTGAAGAAGATCACCGACATTGCCTATTCGCAAGTGGTGCGCTTTGGCATGAACGAAAAGGTGGGGCAGGTTAGCTTCGATGTGGGCCAGAGCGGTGACCCCATATTCTCGAAACCCTATTCCGAGGACACCGCACAACTGATCGACTCCGAGGTGCGGCAAATAATCAAATGTGCCCATAATGCCACAACAGATCTGCTGACACAACACAAGGAGGATGTGCGACGTGTAGCCGAGCGATTATTGCAGAATGAGGTGCTGAGTCGTGACGATATGATTGAATTGCTAGGACCACGTCCCTTCAAGGAGAAGTCCACGTATGAGGAGTTCGTCGAGGGTACCGGCTCCTTTGAGGAGGACACCACATTACCTGAGGGCCTCAAGAGCTGGAACAAGGAGAAGGAGCGAACAGCACCCACAGATACCACATCCCCACCAAAGCCTGTGCCCGCTAGTTAAATCAATCGCGTCGGGCCAATCTGTTTGTTGTTCTAGAGTAGTAGTCACAGTCATAAAGTAATTGTTTTTAGCGCGCGGAGCTCAGCTCAGCTCCCTGTGTGGGGTTTGTGCGCTCAAGAGTATTTTTGAGTTTTTTGGCGATCTAAATTAGACGTGTGCTTAAATTCAAACCAAAAGAGAGTTGAACAGTTTTTATTCTTTTGGAAATGGAAAAAAATTTGCAATGTGTTCTCCATGCGTCACATTTAAGACCTTCCTTTTTTGCCTAATTTTAAGATCAGATAGTGAGAGCAGCTGACTAGCAAGAAGACGTTGGGCAAAGCCAGGCATTAAGCGATGCCAAAATTTGCCGTATTTCATAGTCAAAAATAAACAACTCACTGAAATCAAATTAAAAACGTACTCATTAGCGTTGTTTCACACTAGAATAATCATTAAATATATGGAGATGGGAATAATGCTATGCCTGATGATGATGCTGATCTTTTCTGGAGTTGGAGAATCAATGGAATGCTGTGCTGAACACAGTTTGCTTGCTGTTTTAGTCGATCCATGTACATATATCACCAGAGACGGAGGTCCATGTAGTGGCGAAAACAACAGCATGTGGTGTGAAACGATCGAGATGGTGGATAGAATTTGAAACGAAATTTCAGAATCTTATTTCGAAAAATATAATCCTAAAGAAGCTTATTGCGATTGGAATTCCTTCATGCATTCATGTTGAGGGTCGTAGTCGATCCGCTTAAGAGTGTAAATTTGTGGATCCATGACGACCAAGGACATCAACTGATGAACTAGATGTGAAACAAATCAAACAATTGGTGCTCCAAAAGCGTCAATTGGATCAGTCAGCAGCATTTTAAAAGAGAGTTTAATGTCAAATCTCGATTTCGCCAAACACTTCTAAGAAATTCGGGACAGGCTCTAGAACTAGCGTATTATCCCCTCCAGTATTTATACCATGGTAGTACTTAACCCCATTTTTTTGCTGTGGAAGAAGTCATCAATAAATAAATTCCATATTCATAAATCAAAACATCTGATTTGTGATTTTCTCTGGCGTGTTGTGGAACTTGGGCATAATACGACTAGAGTCAAGTTTAATTCCTAACAGTGTAAGCTTTGAAAGCTTTTGTCAACAGCGCTCTTAAATGCTGTCAACAAATGCGCTCTTAAACAATCTGGCTTGCTCTCCCTACATTTTGCGGAGCATTTAGCAGCGCTCTCTCATTCTCCTGCATCTCTGCTCTCTGACATGCCGCTTATCACTTATCAGCTGGTGCAACCGGCACCAGTGTGTAATGCAATAGGCCGTCAGCAGAGCTTTGCTCAGTGAAGCCACCGACCTCCCCAGGAACACCCATCGCCACCCATCGCCCACTCTTTCACTCTGTTGGGGCTGACTACGACAACAACTACTACTACTACTACTACAATTGCAGCTGGCTGCGTGCTACTGTGACCGTTGTTGTTGTTGTTGTTGTTGTTGTTGCTGGTGTTGCTGCTGCTGCCCGTTGCCGTTCGTTTAGTGTGTGTTTTGGCTTTAGCTACAACGCGCTGGCTGCCCGTGGCCGTGTCTCAGTGTCGTCTTGTTGGTTGTCGCGTTCGTATGCGCGCACAAATCGCAGCAGCAGCAGAAGCAGCAACAATAACAACAACAGCAGTAGCAATAGCAGCAACTACAAATTATTCCCAAACAATTTCAATGCAGTGAAGTGCGTGCAACGACAACAATATACATATATGTTTATATATCTATATATACTATACATAAATATAGAAAAACAACCGCATACAACCGCAACAAATGATTTGTTTATTTGCCCAATAGGCCCGGCCCCACATATTGTCAATGCAATTGGCGATTATATAAAAAGTGCGCGTTGTGCGGTGCAGCATGTGGCATTCAATTCTAATTACAAACAACGACAAACAAAATGTAAAATCTACGTTCGTGTGCCGAGTGTATGTGTGTGTCTGAGAGTGCCAGAGTGATTTGTTTTTAGGCCAAGTGTTTGTTTTTGCGCGCTGCCGGAAATAAATAAAAGCGACGCTGCAACATCAACAGCAAATTGCAACAGCAAGAACAACAATAACAACAACAGCAATAATAATGCCCTACCTACATACGCCCTCCACACGCTTAAGAAAAATGCAACTGTAGCTTTTGTTTAAAGCTTAACTTAAAACACGGTTCGCACACATTTCGTTGCGGCTGAGTAGCTATTTGTGGAAATTTGGTTTTTCAATGTTTTCCCGCCGGCCGGCCGGAATCAAAAAGCAACACCAATAACCATAACAAAGGCACGACAATAGAAAGAACCATGTTATCTAAAGCTTAACTATATTGCCGACTTTTCCAAAAGTTCGTTCTTCGACCGTTTCTTAAGAAAGGGCTCCTTTCAAATTCAAAAATTAATATTGGTATAACATCTGAGTGCTTGTTTTTGTGTTTACACTACAGTTATAAACAAATGAAATATTTAAATTTGTTAGTCGCATAATTATGATCAAACATGTTTAATGGCAAGCTTCTCGATCAAATCAATTTTGATTCTTTCGATGGGGCTTGAAAGTACTATATAATGTTTTGTTGTTATTCTGATTGGATTCGAGATAATTGGTTTGATTCCATTTGTGAATTTTAAGATTTCAAGGTGATTAGTTCAAAAAAAACCGTTCAAAAAACTACAAAATCTTATTTTACAACATATTTTCTAATTTTAGCAACAGCTCGTTCACTTTTTTCTTCTAAATTTAAAATCGAATCTATGTAGTACTAAAATGAACAACAATTTGCTTTCGTAATTATCCAAAACGTCAGAAAGCTTGTACTTTATTTTTAAATCCTGCAATGACGTTTCTATAATTTGAATTCAAAATAGTATTTCTGTTCTTTTTGTAACAAACATGTGATTTGCAACAGTGTTATAATTTGTTGGCACTTAAATATTTACTCTATTTGAAATCAGTTTATAGTGAGTAATATATTAAAAGTAATATGTATGTTGCTGTTGAAATTATTACAGTTTTTTTTTAAAAACTTGAATGAAAACTGAAAAGACGTGAGCTTTCAATCGAATTCTTTTGTGAGTGCATTGATCGATTGTCATTTAAATGGCATACATACATACCTACTTACTCACTCTCCCTTTCGCACCGTCTCTTTCTAACCCTTTCGTCGATCAGTTTTCTTTTGAGTTGTGCCTCATTTCGGTTCGTTTTGCCAATTGTCGCAATTGGCGGGTCACGTGTATATGCAACGTCGCCAGTTAACTTCTGCTCTCTTTGTAACGGTGTATTGTTGTTTTTGTGGGTGTGTGTTTGTGAAAGCTTGCATGCTGTGCGCTATTATAGCCATTGCACTTGTTGTTGTTGGCGCTGCCCGTTGTTATTGAGGGAGTCAACACTGTTTGGCCCCCCGAATTGCGACTTGCATGCGACGTTGTTTGGCGCTCTTCTCATGTAAGAGTGAGAGTATGTATGTATGTGTAGGTGTGTTTGTGTGTGGGAAAGATCAAGGCGACAACAACAATAATAATAAGTAGAAGTAACAGGGCAATAACAACAAAACAAGCCATAAAAACATATTTCGTCGTTTTGATTTTAGTTGTAATTGCATCAATAAAGTGGTTATTGGGTTAGTTTCGTTTTGTTTGGTTGCCAGATTTGATGGAGAGAAAAAGTAACTGAAGGCAGATGAGTGGTTTGAGAGCGCAGAGAGGGGACTTACGAAAATGTACTTGCTCTCAAAGGGTTAATGGACACTCAACATTTTTCAGTTTGTTGCAATATTAACTTTAACGGGTTGGTTAGAATTGCTAGAATTTAAATAATGTTAAATAGTATATGTATATTCGAATTGGAATTGGACGTATGTCCGTTAATGTCTGACTTAATATAAGTTTTATAAATTGAAGCAATATGAAAATATTCTGAAATATATTATAAAGATTCATTAATTAGATTATTAGTGTTTGACTTATTAAAAAAGTTTAGGCTTAGTTCTAAAGATTAAGATTAAACAAATATAAAGTTGTGTTGACATAAGATATTATGTGAAATAAATTTTAAAATATAAAACAAATTAAAAAACAGCCATTTAATAAATTTGTATACACCAATACTGAAGAGTGGGTATCCTCTGGAACTAAAAAGTTCACTCAACTCAATACCAAATTAGATGAAAAAATTAAAGATAGCTAATCAAACATAAACTAAAGAAGCCATTTCTTAAAACGATAAAATAAAACTACAATTTGTCATCTAGTATATATGTATGTATGTGTTATGTAGTATATATGAACTTTAATTAAATTGCAATAAAAATGGAAGCTTTACAGCTATTCTAAAAATGTTCAATAGCAACAACTACAAGTCATGAGAAGCGCAGAGAAGCGACCGCAGTAAAAATGTATTGGCTAGAAAAAATTGCAATAAAACATTGTCAAGAAATTCCTCGTGCTGAAAAGCTACGTAGTCGTAGGGCATAAAGCGTGCGCCTCACGTGCCGCATTCTCTCCTCACCTCCCACTCCTCCCACTTTTCGCCAGTGTTTTGCAGTTTTGCATTTTACGACTGTTTCGTTTCGAATGATTGCACTTTACGGTGCGCAATTGTGAGATTTGGTTTAAAAAACTTACAATTTCTGCCTCTACTTTATGTATTATGTGTGTGTGTGTGTGCGGCGACTTCATTAACGGACAACATGTTGATTTAATAAACAACAACCAACAACAAACCACAACCAATAAACAACACAGTTTTATTTTGCGATATGTAAAATGATGCCTTTAATCCAAATACAAAACATCAAGTTAACGCAACGTTTCTAAAATTCGAAACCAAAATTCAAAACGAGTATAAACATTTATAACCAAACGTGGCCTGCAAAACGAAGCAACAACAACCCAGAAATGTGATTCAAAGTGCGCAATGTAAGAAAATACTTAAGCCATTGTGTTTAATTCTAAATAAAACAAAAAACCAGCAAATAAGAAGAAAAAAAATTAATAAAAAATACATGAAATTCCCAAACAAAACAAATCACAACAAATCCAATTCCAAATAAAACAAAAAAAGGACGGGAGCGAGGGAAAAAGTGAATCAAAAGCCAGGCAAATGGCAATCATCTACGTAGAAGCGTTTGCGTCAAGTAGCGAACTAGCAGCCGTCGTCAATGATTAAAGAAAGGATAGATTGATAGCACGTCATCATCGCCATTGCCGTCGTCTAGCTTATGCTCTAGTTAGTTTAGACACCCGCGCTAGGACGACACCCAATGCCAAACACAATTAGAGCACCAACAACAACAGCAACAACTATAGAGTAGACATCAGCCAATAGCCAACAGTCTCAACATACTTCTCGTAGTACCCATACAGTGCAGCTGGAGACCCGGTCAACACCATGGATATCAAGATTGAGCAGCAACAGCAGCAGCAGCAGCAACAACAACAGCAACAGCAGCAGCAGCAGCAGCAACAAACAGAGCTGGGACCGCTCTCGCCCTCAGAGGTGCCCAATGATCCTGGGTAAGTGTACGTGTACGTGTAAGTGTAAGTGTAAGTGTGCACTGACAAAAAGGCACTCGACAATCTCACAAAAACTTTATTTGAAACTCGTTTTGGCCGATGACAGGCGTTTTCGTCATATAAAATCGTCATTTATCAATCAACAGCATGTTCGGCCTGCCATTGATTTGGCTTCCGATTCTAAATGCTGCACTCAGAGAAATACAATTTCCAGATTTTGAAATTTTCGCAATTCCAATACACGTGATATCTCCCATCAATTTAGGAATTTACTCTAAAGTACGGTCACACATGGAAATAATTTGCATGTCGCTTTGAAAAGTATTTTGTTGTAGGAGAAAAACTGCATTTGAGTATAGAATTTTTAAAAGTTTTAATGAAAATAACAAAATTTTAATTTGCGTGCAAATTATTTGATTGTCTGACCGTAACTTTAGAATGAATTCCTAAATTGATGGGCGATATCGAGTGTCCCAGTGCCTTGTTTTATATCCACAACCACTTTCTTTTTGCTAAAATATGTTAAGATCTTAGAAGATATATTTGGAAATTTGAAAATTGTATTTGAATTTTGAACTTAGGTATCATTTTCATAGACATGATTATTTTATCTCATTAAGTGGTTGAGAAGAAAGTGGACAGAACGTATTTTTAAGACACTCTCAATGCAGTTACATTTCAATCGCCATTCTTGTTATGCGAAAGCGTAATTGAGAGCCTTTGGATTGGCATAATTATACTCAAGAGATGTTTATTATTTATTGAATTCACAAATATATTAATGTTTTGCTTGGGCCATGATCAGATAGGCAGATAATGTAGAGGATTCATTTTTAAAGGCAATCTTAATGCAGTAGCATTTCAATCGACATTTGAAAATGTAATTGAGAGCCTTTGGATTGGCATAATTATACTCAAGAGATGTTTATTTTTTATTGAATTCACAAATATATTAATGTTTCGCTTGGGCTATGGTCAGACAGGCAGATAATGGAGGGAATATGATTTTAAATACAATCTTAAAGCAGTTACATTTCAATCGACATTTGAAAGCGTAATTTAGAGCTTTAGAATTGGCTCAACAGCACAATTATACTCAAGAGATGTTTAACATTTATTGATATGACAAATATGAATGTTTCGCTTGGGGTATGGTCAGACAGACAGATAATTTGCACAACAAATGGTTTCCTTTGGAAACTTCGCCCCGATAAAGTAGAAGGTGTGTTTTTATGAACATCGAATTTCTGCAAAATGTTTTGCCTGTCCAAAGCCTTAGATTTGATATCGTTTTGCATTTTGAAAAGTTTTTTAGCAATCAGCTTAAGGACCTAGTTTTTTTCTGCGTGTGCGTGTATGTTTGGGTGTGCTTAGAGTTGACATTGTTGAGCGGGCATTAATTGTTTTAGTTTTAAGTTGTCATTATTGAAGTTAAGTTGCCCGAACGCCCACACAGTTGTTGACAGAAAGTTTTCTATGTCAATGACAACGTGCCAGTCAACAGGCCCAGATGAGCTGCCCTCCTGATGGTGAGACGCCGAGACGGATAGCGGGAGAGCCAGACGGTTCCCCCTTTAGGTCCTGCATCAGCGCCTCGCAGCAAACTAATTAGAAAACAATTTGCTAAGGACATCAAAATTCAATTAAAGCCATTGAGTTTAGTGCAATGCAGTTTGGTTTCCCTGTCTGCCCATTGGCTACAGTTTATTATGCTCTCTGGCTATTCAATCTATCCAACTACTAGTACTACGAGTATCTCTGTAAGCGTTTATGCGCTTATGCGTTTTGGCTTTGGCTTTGGGCTGAAATGGGTTAAGTTGTGATTGCGGTGTCATATGCAGCAGATTAATAGGAGAGCTGCATTGCTGATAATTTGCATTGGATGCTTGGGACGTCTCATGGCCGAGACTAAGAGATAATAACGATGCCAGAGGTCGGTCGAGACAAGCAAAATGCAGCTGGTGAGGAAAGTGCAAAGATGCCAGAAATTGGCTGTGTGGTCTCAGTAGGACGGCATTTTAAAATAACTTTGAATGAATAGTTGAACAGGAAATAAGTAGCTAAGGTGCAAAGTTTAAATAACAATGGCTAGAGCAGTGTAGACTCTTTTTCACGTGTGTTTGTTGTGTTCATTGTGTTGCCATATGGTCTTCGTCTTTAATTTTCAGTGCATATTAGTGTCTAGGACCTTCGAGTAGTTACTAAGGTAAGCCCCTGGGCTGTACAGACTACATAAATATAGTAATTTGTATTAATACATTAGTTTTGAGATTAGTTGATAATTAAAAGTGCGAGTTAAGTCGATAATTTGAAGTCTTAGAATTTAATTCATTCTACAACAATGTGAAAACTAAGATCTACTAAACTAAAATTCGCATATGCATCAAAATCCATCCACCATATCTTTTGCATGACATCTGGTATAATAAAATATCACTTGTACATTTAGAAAATAAAGTTGAGCGCAAAATATATAGCTTCAATTATAGCTTGGCTTTACAATTTTGCAAAATAAAGTTGCCAATTTTAAAGGGAATTAGTATAACATGCCTAACACGACCTGACCTGATCAACTCTGGACATCAAAAGAACTATTACGTTATGGTTTTATTTAACACTATTCCTCATTTTCTTGGGTTAGTAGATATACGTCAAAGATACTCTGATTATCCAGATCCTTTTTAAGAATTAGATATTTATTTTTAAATTAAATTTGAACAAGTTATTTGCCCAACGACAATGTAAATAAAATACTGCTCCCTCCAAAACCAAATACTCTCAACTACCTCTTTTAACTAAGCAGGTATTATTTTCTTAGATAATTCAAAGGTTTAGGTTCTAATATATATATATATATATATATATATATATATATATATATATATATATATATATATATATATATATATATATATATATATACTATTATTTATAAAAATGATTCGAAAATTTTTTGTATTTGAAAGCTGTTCCCATTTCAATCTGGTCCGGTTCTAATAATGTCATCCATGAGAAAACTACCCTAAACAAACCTCATTTAGTCCAAATAGCTGAAAGTTCTATTCTTGAACAGGATGCTGTTACTGCAGAACCATACTCGAAAGAATATGCCACTTTTAATTGCCTCACTGTTTTAGATCCGAAGTCGGTTTTCTGTTTGTTAAAACTTTACTTTTTCAATACAACTAGAGACTAGAACTTCATTTGAACTGAACTTTTGTTCCTCGTAAAAATCAAATTACGTTTGGTTATCGTTTTTTGTGGCCATTTTGCCATTTTTTTTTTTTTTTTTATTTAGCTGAAGTATGACTTCTGGCTATTTGATAAATTAAAAAGACTACTCCGAGGACACCGCTTTGAAACGATTTAGGAGATTCGAAACGAATCGAAGATGGTTATCCAGAAAAGGATTGGAAAAGCGTTGACATATGCCCCATTGCATTCGAAAGGGATTAAGTCGATTCTAATGAACAATTTAATTATAATAAATAGTGCAGGTCATATAAGCATTAAGTAGGTAGTATTTTTTTAGTGTTTGAACGATTTCATAGTACTTGTATGTGCAAGGGCCATCATTCTCCCGTTGCTAGTCCACTGAGAAGAGTCGAAATGCTGTGTAGAGTACAGTTTCCTCTGGTGATCGACGTTCCACTCCATTTTCAGTTACCGGTGCATCAGCGCCCACAAGTGGATTTTTTTCTGGCTTCCATTTGGCTTCCATTGCCATATGGCCGACGACGAAGTCGTCGCAAGCCATTGAACACACAGAGCCTATAAATTATACAGTCCACGGCATGTATCTATTATCGAAGCGCTGCAAATTGTATAACCTCAACAAATTTCACCACTTCAACGGGAAAAGTCAAGAAATGGGCAAAAGCATGCAGCTTTTCTTGTCTATTTTGCATTAGAGATGTGGCATAAACAAAAATAGGCACGCCATTTTAGCGTGCATCCTCAACTGGCGGTGAAAGACTACCGGAAAAAAAATGGATCACCTGCTCGCTCGACGTCGGCGCAGACGATGTCGCCGTCAGCTTCAGCTTCAGCGTCAGCGTCAACGCGGCAGGTGCAACACATGCCACAAGACTGCCATGTCTGCCATTTCTGGCGGTGCAAATGTGAAATGCAGCACCTAGCTAGTTGGCGAATGCATAAATCGTGAATTAATGCAAAATACCTTTTGATGACGTTTGAAGATACAACCTGAAGAAATGCGGCAACATACATAGTTCATGTGAACATACACTATCAAGCATTCGAATAGAATTCAATTAAAAACTAAAAATATGAACGTCGGAAATGCGTAAAGAGTCAAAACACAAATATATAACAATGGGGCAGGAATCCCACAATGGGAGATTGCTCCTGAGTAGGCATTCGGCTGGAATCACGCCGCATCAATCATGATGGAAGCATGATTCCAACCTAAATTAAGGTTAACTATTTAAAAAAAAAAAAAAAAAAAAAAAAAAAAAATATATATATATATATATATATATATATATATATATATATATATATATAATATATAACAATAGCAACGATAATAATGTGTACAAAGAATGCTCTCCTATATACAAATAAATATACATGCTATTCTTTTATATCATGTACCTAAAGGGTAAAATGGAGGATATACTTCTTCTTCGACGTTACATGATTCGACTGTCTTGTGTAGTTTAACTCTTAATGTACAGGATACAATATTGTTAAATAATAATTGATCCCATATTTCAGGCTTCAGGAATAAAACCAAGGTTAAAGTATTATTTTTTTGATTTTTCTGAGAGTATACAAACTATTTTTGAAGTGGATCAGTTTCATACAAACTTTGGAGCCTGTTTTCCCCTTTTGAAGCTCGAATTTTCCAAAACCACCTTCACTATGAAGAGATATTTGAATCCAAATTTCAGCTTCATAGCTTTTCCCGTTTGGGTTTTGCGTTGATCATTAATCAAACAGTCAGCACAAACTGTTTTATATATAGAGTTACTTGGGCTTAATAAATTTAAAATTAGGGAAATTATTAAAGAATTACTTCTTTGCAAGGTTTGCCAGAGAAACTCTAAGAAACTCTTAAGCTTATGTCTAAAATAGAATTTAGTTTTGAACAAAAATTATAAATATCATATTTTTAACGAGCATGTTATAAAATGACTAAATTAAATGAATTAAAAAATGTAATTGAATAAAATAAACGCAATTCAGGGAAAATTCAGAAAATATGCACCTTATTGTAGATTTTATAGATTCGCATTTTCGTTTGGAATACCTTCACAAAATGAATCGATTACCGATCTGAAATTGTTCGAAAAACAGACAACAGAATGTATGATTCATGCAATACAATTCAAAACAAAAGGTTATACTGTATGTGTATGTATGTACTTGTATATTTGCAGTTTGTAAAACATCTGGCTGGGCTAATAAATATAATCGAACTGTAATTGCAAAAGTTTCAATTAAAAAACTTTATTGCCTCAGTTCGAATTTGTTGTAATGCCGAATCGATTTGCATTCCCAAAACTTTGTCATCGAGTACGAAGCATGAATACCGTCTCCATTTGTCTCAAGTCAAGTGCACTATAGTGTAAATAGTATATATACCTTTGTATGTCTGTATATATTCATACATACATATATGTGGCTGGCTATATGTGGCTCTTGAGCAATTGCAAGTATCAGAAAATGAGCGAAAAACATACAATTCCATTCACAGTTTTGCTTGCAGCGGCGATCGCTACGGCTCAGTAAGTCTGGCCGACCGACCAACCGCACTGCCAACCGACGGACCACCACTTTATAAATCTTTTGAAGGGCCAGAAAGATTTACTGGCAACCAGTCCCGCGCCAAATGCAAAATGCGGCAAAGTAAATAAACACACAAAGGCGAAAAAGACACACGCGTACAAACAACAACATAGAAATAACTAAATAAATGCCCTGCTATTAATACAATTCACTTTGCCAATTTATTTTTAGTGGACTAAGTAAAAAAAAAAAACAAAAAACAAAAAACAAAAACAACACAAATCCAAAAAACTTAAAAAAAACCACAAATTTTAAATAGCAACAAAAATGAGATACGACAGAGGCAGCGAGTTGGCTTCGACAATTATCCATTAGAACCGACACACGGCCCGAAATTCGTGCGCTGTTCTCGTCTCGCGTCTGTTCTGGTCACCAACACCACCTCCAGCAGTGGCAGTGGCAGTTGCTGCTGCTGTTGCAGTTGCACTCACCGCTGCCTCATTTAATGTGCCCCAAAACTGCGGCGGTCGCTGCAATTGCAAATGCAATTGCACTCGCTGCTCTTTTCATAATTGTTGTCGTTTTGTTCTTGTCTCTTCGCGTTCTGTCTGTCTGTCCGTCCGTCTGTCTGTCTGTCCATGCCTATTGCTATGCCAATGCCCGTGTAATTGTGGCTTTGTTACGTTTCGTAAATTGATTCATTGTACATGGGACCTGTTGTTGTTGTTGTTGTTGCTGTGCTTGTCCCCATGCTGTAATTGCTTCCAAATGATTTTGTTCTAATGTGTGAGTAAAAATGTGTATGTGTGTGTGTGTGTGTCGTATGGCAAGCATTTTGCTTGTAACTATCGTCAGTCTATCCACTTAGTCTGTCAATCTGTCCGTCTGTCAATAGCCTTTATTTTGTATTCATAATGAGACCAGCGGCAATTTTCCTGGGAGCTAAGTAATTGGGCGGCCACATTAGCTAAATATGTATTCCAGCTTTATTCAAAACCCTCACAAATCAGATTTAAAACGGCGGTCTAGAATCTAGACTGAATGCACATAAACCACCGTCTCGAATCATAGCTGAAATTTCAAGTTAGAAAACCTTAAGCTCTGACCACATATGCAAATAATTTGCATACAAATTTATTGTATTTCTAAAGTAGGTTTTGAAAAGTAAATCCCAAAGTACGAGTAAGTTATTGTATAAGAAAATTTCACTTCAATGTAGAATTGTTATTATGAAATACTTGTAACATTCGGCAGATTTGCGAGCAAACTATTTGCCTGAATTCTACAAGCGCGCTTTAAAATTGTCTTCATCAAAGCATTAGACTCTTTTCACTGTGTCTTACAACAGAACTTTATTCCTCCATGGAACCATTCCGCCGAAACTAGATATTCTATCTCATCTCGTTTTAAATTAGGCGCACGAGAGATGGAGGTATTGCGAACCCGACATGAAATCCATCTGTGGGCAGCACAGTACCAGTACCAAGAAGACATTTTTGGAGAATTTTTCTATTTAGGAAAACTTCCTATGCAGATTCAAAATCCTAATTGGTTCCTGCACAACTCAATTAGAACTCCATTAGAATATTTATTGCATAGTTTACATTTGGAAGAATGATTTATTTTGCAATATAAAGTTGCTATTTAGTAGAAGAGCATAACGCTCACAGCAGTTGCCATTATCGAAGATACAGAAACGTTAATGGGATTATTGAAGAGAGATTTGAAGAGCGGCATTACGAAAGGCTGTAAAAAGATAAATACCAGTTACAATTATATATTTGGGAATAAATAGCTTTTTTCAACTCACGGCATTGAATCGATCCATGCTGATCCAGTCGTTTGTAAATCGAGGAACAACATCTTTTATGCTATTCTTATATGTTTCTCGCTCCAGTATCGATAAAATTGTCGTCTGCAAGATTATTCTTGTATAAATATTTTCTTTTCAATTCAGTACATGCAATCATTGTTGTTAGGCATGAAGAACCTTGAGAAAATCGAATTGATAAATGTCCTCCGCTCAGATAAGCTTCATTGGATTGTTGAAGTGTCCGGGAATATTCCAGATCTGATGACTTCTGCCAAGAAGAATACTTGAATCAACTCAATGACTATTGAACACCCTGTTTAATAGTTAATGAGCTGAACTGAAGAAACTTGAATCCTATTTAAGTGCGATGATAAAGAAAATGGACTAGTGCTTGTTGCCTCCCCAAACAGACCACAGGCCGAGCACTTTTTGGATATATGGAAGTTGGCACACAACCTTTGTACTCCTTCCTTTAATCAATAAATCGTGACGTATTAACTAGAGCATGTGTCTGGAATTCTTGAAGCGTTCGCTGTTGAAAGAATTTTAAGCTTGGATTCGTACGATTGTTAATTAGTTCAAACAGGTAGACTTACCGATTTGAAAGGGTGTCTAATGTTTAAGCTTCACGACCGAAAGAACAGTAGGAAGTGTTACTTCCTGAGTTGGAGTTCCTGCACTAACCATTTCGATGCGTTTTAGTTTGACTTAAAATACAAATTTCTAAACAACTTACCACAAATTCAGTTGTGTTTAATATGAGTATAAGTTTTTGGCTATAAACTGGCTTACAAATACAAAATATTTTTTTATTATTTTTACAAATTTACAAATCGTGTGTTTTGTTCGACGGCTACGAAAGGAATGAATATGTTTTAAATATTTCTCTGGATATTAAAATGACATGAAATTCTTACACTTGCTATGTCGACATTTGTTTTACAAATTGTTTACAACTTCGTTTGCTTGATTTTAAAATAGTAGGCTATTCCAATCTTTTCAATTGTTATCAATGTTTTTTGATCAATATTGCATATGTATACAAAAAAAACATTTTTAATTGTAGAAATCTCTGTCTGTAATGTTTCTTGCGATTTATTTACGGTATTTTACCTTTACCTTATTTATTGATTTATATTTTAAAACACAATATTTATACAAATGTGTATATTTGTATTTATTTATAAGTGCTTTAATGTAATTATGTATAAAAATTTGATTCTACACGTGTGAGAGGCGCGAGAGCTGATTTACAGTTATGCTTTTTGATTATTTGCCTTTCCTTTTGCATTCTTTAAGAGAGCATTCTGCACGCAGCTGCAATGCGAGGCTTAGTTTTTCTCGACCTGTTGAACGCGTCGCGCCGTTGGACATTGGAGTTGCCGAGAACTCCAAGAAAATGTATATTTAATAGTTTAAATATTAGTAAAATATGTGTACATATAGTAGTATTAAGTCGTGAGCGAAGTTTAAAAAATATGTGTTTATTAATGCGAAAACGCCGCTCGAATAACGTGCTGTATACATACATACATACATATTTATCTATGTGTGTATGTATGTATGTGTGTTCGTGATTTCGAATTAGTTGCGCAGTGCCTCAATTTTTGTTTTGTTTTTTAAGTGGTTATAATTGTGATTGAAATAATTAAAGTTTTTCAATTTTGAAATGTATGTAAATGTAAGTACGCCCTGGTTCATGTTTGATGACTTCAGAGTAAATATTTTTTCTTTTCAAATTACTTACCGCGTGGGTTCATATTTGCGTGTATGCTTGTGCGTGTAACATGTATTTATGTATGTACATATGTATATACATAAGTCTTTCAATTGGCCCTCATATTAGCAGACAAGTTGTCACCATAACGTAACATAGGCACAAAATAAGAAAGAAGGAAACTTAATTTAAATTTCTAACTTGGCTACTTTTGTGTTTTGAGTGAGTTCTATGAAAATGTACATCCTTTCCCAACTTCTTCGGCTCTAAATCTTGATATTAGAAATGTTGTTTAAGCCTTCTACTTACATTATGACCGTGCACTTTTAAATGTCACATGCATACTTTTGAAGAATTTATCAACACTGCTTAAACGGCTGCTGTTGTTCTGCAGAGCCTCTGTTAATTAACAGCAACAGTTGTCAGATGCCATATTTGTAAGCAAGTTGTTTAAGTAATTAATGAATATCGGTTACAAGTTAAGATAAGGAAGGGTGCTGTTTTCTTAAATTTTATTTTACTCCACTTACTTGTACTTACAATTTTTTGCGAAACTCTTAAAAATGGCGCGCTCTTATTACGAGTTTCTTGAGTGCTCGCTTAGCGCACGTGCATTAGTTGTTGCCAATAAATCATTTTTTTATTCACATTCAAGTGTATAAGGTTTCATAATTAACCGTAAGTTATCTTAAATTGTTACGTGTTCCGTTTTCGACGCTCTTCACAAATGTCCCGGCTGTTTGGGTTGCATAGCAGGCAGCTTCAAACTGTCGAATGTGATGGAAATTGAAATTGCATTTTAGATTCCAATTTAAAACCACACAAACATTAGAGTACAATCTGAAGCTTACTTAGAGTCTACAAAAACTTCATTTCACCCAATTGACATTATCAAAATTCAATTTATAATCTTTTGGCCATGCACACACACAAACACACGAACACACACACAGGCAGGAGCATACACTTTGGCACACCATTTGCGAAACTTTTCATTTGCTTTAGTTGCACTTTTAAGTAAACAGTTCGATTAAAATGGCGCAACTTGACAGCGCGCAACGAGATTTTAGAGTAAAGTGCAGGAGAAGCAAATGGAGCACAATACTTAGCCTAAAAGTACAGATATATTTCTCTTTTCAAATCAATGCAAGGTAAAAGTTTTGCGTTGCCTTTGCTAAATGCAGTCATAACTTTTGGCAGCTAAAAAGAAAATATAACTAAAAATAAGAACTAAATTGTTGGTTAGGAAGTGTATGTAAGCCGCCATTAGAGAATGACTGGGGTAAAATTTTATTGGTGCCCGTTTGCCGCCTACGCGGCGTATGTTATGCAATATAAGTAAGACGATAAAAGTGCAAAAAGGAAAAGCTGTGCAAAAAGTTTTGCTTGCTATCTGCGGCTAAGCAATGTATCGTCGTCTGCGGCGCCGCCACCGTTATTGTCGGCCATGGAAGTGGTTCCGGGGTGGTAGAGCCGGTGCCGGGGGTGGTGGCGTACACAATGCATCCTTTGAACCGCAAAGTGCAGAGCCACAATACCGCATAGCTCAACCAATTCCACACACGATACACTTAAAATGCAATTTTTCTCAACAATTCTTAATGTTAATGAGATACTTGTTATTGAAATGATATCGAAGAATTTGTTGTTTGTTTTAAGAATCGTGGAAAATCCCGTTTTCTATCCAGAAGATTTTTCCGGTACAGCATTGCTTCTACTGTTGTGAAAAATACATACATAACAAATGGGGTATATCAAAAAATCAAAGTAACAAAACCAAAGTTAAATAAAAGAAATGCGGACAGTAAGCTATTACCAAGAAAGAGATTTCTTATGATATTCCGATACTTCTCCAGAATAAGTTCCTAAATGTCCCTCATTTGAAGTAGGGTCTTTGGGTATACGTTCGTTTCGTCTTGCTCTCGGAGCTTAAAAACTTTTTTTTATTGAAGTTAAATTAAAAAGCTGCTCTGCCAGGCTACAAAAAAAAAAAAAACTAGAAATGTGCGGGAGTTGAGTCTATCGGACAGGTGCATCGTTCTGTGCAACAAAACCTAAAGTTTCTAATTTGCATTTTTCAAGAACTTTAGTAATGGTGCAGTTTGGAGTCAGGTGCGTTAGAATCTATAAATGTGGTAAAGCGACTTTTTTTATGAGTGTACACTACACTACCCTCATTCCCATATAGGCGCGCGCTATTCATTATAAATTGCATGTACTGGTAATTGTGTTTGTGTTTGGTACAAAACGGTGCAGCAGAATTGCTTTAAATGAGCCAAGCCGAACGAAGCGTATCCCAATTTAGGCTCTGAGCTCTCTGCCAGCGCTGATGACGCTGCCTCTGCTCCAGACGCAGTCGCCGGTCCGCGGCTCGTATTTAGCTTTCCGCACGATTAAATCGATGCAACTGTAAAGTTCTTTTTCTATTACGCTTTTTCGTGCACATTCGCATTACGCACACACACACACACACATACTCCCTTCTATCCTAACACAGAAGAACACACACACCCACCCGCTATATCATCGCAAAACTATCTCTGTGGGTGCTGCCACATAAAACATTGCCTGGCGTATCATCTATGGCTCTGCCGCACTGCTTGGCCAACATTTAAGCGCTCCTGCTTCACTCTTTCTACGTCCCCTCCCTACTCACATCTTTTGATTCTGCTGGCGCTGTTGCTGCTCCTCCATAATGGCGGCTTCGTATTTAGCTTTAGTCTAGCTTTTGTCTGTCTGCCCTCCTATCATCAGTCGTCCAATGTGGCTCGTTCGTCGTTCCTTGTTTGTGCTCTGTTTTGCGTGTTCTCATATGCCCGCCCGGCCATCATCTACCATTGCTAACTGAAGGTGCTGGCCCATCCCCCCACCAATCCCCCATTGCACTCACAGCCATACTTCAACACTCCACCGACGCTTTCACACACTCACAACGCTTTGTCTGGCTGTCTTGAATGTCTCAGACAATTGTCGGCAACATATTTATGCTTTAGCATGCGTCGCTCGCTTTCTATGAGTGTGAATGCATTTGTCTGTATACATATATGTGTGTTTGTGTGCGTGTGTGTGTGTGCTTAGTTTTTAGTTTTAGTTTTGTCCAGGCGAACGAAAGGTTGTAACCACTAAGCAATTGCAACAGCTTTGCTGCTTGTTGTGTTGCCACATTTTGATGATGTTGTTGATAGCCCGCATATGATGGCATCTCAGTTGCATGGCACTGGCATGGGGGACGCCTTTACTGCCATAAGGAAATTGAAAAATTACTCCTCGTTATCCCCTAATGCATCTTAAAACGTTGAGCACTTCAAACGGAATCAGCCTAAAAAGTATTTAGAGACAGCCTCGACTGTCTGCTCCTGCTGTTATAGCTATTAAAAAGGAGTATCGTTCATATGTACTATAGACATATTTGCTTCAAAAGGATACTTCTTTTCTCGCAATAATTAAGCGAGGTCTTCAGTGCATTATATAAATGATATGTTCATTTTCCGAATTATTTAATATTGAACGCAGTCTGAATGCATTCGTTTTATTTAAGTAAGTAGTAGCGTTCTTACTAAGGCAACCAAATAATGTTATAAATTCATTAATTCATTTCATATTTTTTGTTCGAATATGTTTTTTAAAAGTTTAAATTATATCTTTTTTTATTTTTATGTCTACATACAAAAATACAGCCTCCTCCAATACTACCAATTATAAATCCATTTTTAAACAAAATTATTAAATACATGTATGTTGATCCTAATAATTTGCAGAATAAGGAAGAAATTCGAACTTCCATTGATTTTGCCAAGTAGGATAACGGATGTCTGAACTGGTGCATTGTTTTGAAAAAATAAATAAAAATTTTTCCAAGTGCGTCACAAAAAAATGCTTTCGCCTTCTTTGGAGCCTAATTTTTTATTTTGCTGTAATGGAAAGGTGTTTATTGTGTTGTGTTGTGAAATATCGCTAAACACTTAATTGAAACATTCTGACGACATTGTTTTTCTCCCAGTGTAAGCAAACGCAGCACTTCACTTGCTCACAGCTTTCTCATCTCTCATCGATATGCGATGTTAAGGACTTTTTGGAATGCCTACCAATTCAGCTATCTCCCATACTTTCAGTGGGCGATCATCCATTTCAT